ATGATTGGCAATTTCACGATTTGACGATTTGACGATTTGATGATTGACAATTTCACGATTTGACGATTTGACAAGCTAAAAATCCAGAAGGCATGCACTGACCTATTCCAACTTTCCTTAACATGGTTGGAAAGATATTGACTGAAGAAGAGCTGTCAGAAGCTAACCCTAGCCGCATCGAGAAGCGATCGCTGTGCTTTTGAAAGCCGGAGAGTCGAAGGCGGCCATCTCGCGAAAGCTAAAAACCACATCAGAACTGTCCAAAGGCTTGCCGAACAATTGAAAGAGAAAGAACACGTCAAGGAGAAGCCGAAAAAAAGGAAGACCTCGATCGATGAACACGCCAAACATCCAGAAGCTCATCAAACAGCGAATTGACCGAAACGATGAGCCAAGCTTAGGGAAAGTGGCCAAGGAGCTGAAAATCTCGGATTGGTCGGTTCGGAACATTGTGAAAAACAAGCTGGGACTTCATATTTATCGTCTGCGACAAGGCGAATTTCTTACCGATGATGCAAAATTCAATCGAGTTCAAAAAGCCAAGCGACTTCTTTGTTTTTTTAAGACGGCACGCATTGAGGACGTCTTGTGGTCAGATGAGAAAATTTTTATTATCGAAGTGGCCCACAATTCTCAAAACCATCGTCAACTGATGTCACCGATTCAGAAGAACACTTTGAACCTGAAAATCTGGACACGGGGTCTTTTTCCGAAAGGATTGATGGTTTGCGGAGGAGTGACTGCGGATTCGAAGACTCAGCTTGTTTGCATCGACAAGAGTGTCAAAATCAATGCCCAGGTCTACCAAGATCAGATCCTGTAATCCCCTGGAGTCGAAAAAACCCTAACATTACCTTCCAGCAGGACTGGGCTCCGGCTCCTGGATCGAAAACCACAATGGACCTGATTCAGCGCGAATTCCCTTCTCACTTCACGAAAGAAGACTGGCCCAGCAACTCGCCGGACCTCAACCCTTTGGATTTTTCAGTATGAGGCTTCTTAGAGGAACGTTTGAGGCATCAGAAAATCACAAATCTTGGTGAGCTCGAGAGAGAATTGATTGCTGCCTGGAACGATATTGATGCCAACTACCTCCGTGCCACCGTCGGCTCAGTGATCTCGCGTCTGAAAGCCTGCATCAAAGCCAAGGGGTCCAATTTTGAGCGCTTTTTATAAACTTTAATTTTTGGTTATTTATCTGTTATTTTTTTCAATAAACGTGTTAAAGGCTTAATTTTGAAAAAAGATATGATGGTTGGAAATACTTTTCTCGGTCCCTGTAAGTTAAAATCGAGATTTGCCGCCTTTTCAATGCTTTAAATTTTAAAGAAAAAGTGCTATTGAAAGTCATTTTTTTTTGTTTACTTACTAGATTAGAAGCATTAGAACATAGTTATAACAAAGAAAATGCTTTTAATTTATCATCAGTACTCGTAAATTAAGCCGATAAGAAAAGTTGAATTCCAAATTTTTACGTTTTCATAAAAGTCCATTTTTAGCAAAATCTAGAAGACAGATTTTTATGAAACTATTATTTTTGAAATCAGCGTATTTTTCTGGTCTAGAAAACGCAAATGGCAGTGTTTTTTGATAGAGAATGCAGTTTTGCGCGAACTTGTTGTCCCCGCTTTTGGATCAGCTTTTTTGGATCTTGCCGATTTTGAGGGGTTTGAAAAAATCGAATGACATAAAAGATACTTTATTCAACATGAATAAGTGGATACAACACAACGGAGGACACAATTTTTACCCCTACAATGTAGTTAAGAAAAAACCCAACTTAATGGGAAAAAGAACACACACTTGATTTCGCCAGCGGGATCGAACCCTGGATCTTCCGATTAGGAGAGAAGATTCCTAACCAGTCGGCCAACTGGTCATTCTAGTAAAGCATTTACGATAATATAAGCATTATAAGCATTATAAGCAAACTGCTGTTGTAGGCAACATCTATTTCACCAGAGAAATCGTGTTTTCATTTCTTTTTGCACAAAAAGAACTTAAGAACTCATAGCTTAAGATCTTAAGCGAAAGGAAAAGAGAAATTTGGTTAAAAAGGGGAAAACAGAAAACAGAAAACAGAAAAATTTTCCCATTTCACGAAAAGAATCAATTCAAAAGAAAATAAGAGCTTTTTTGACTTTAGAATCCTCGAAATTTCAAGGATAAGCAAGAAATGAGGAAAAAGAGAAGAAGAAGAGGAAGAATGAAATTTTTTTTTTGGGTAAATCGAGTTGTCTAATCGAATCTCGACACAGTGGGCGTCTCAAATTCCGTGAAAAAGCGGAAAAAGCGAAAAAAAACTTAACAAAGAATATTCAAAAATAAGCGCCATTTCCCTAATTCTATTTCCAAATTTAGCAACGACGAAAGCACTTTTCCGCCTTTTTTCTAAAAAAGTCTAAAAAAGAGTCACTTTTGTCGGGAATTAGATTAGAAAATTGACCTTTCAAGTGTTTCGTGATTTCCTAGGGTCCCAGCGATTTCCTAGAGTCCCAGCGATTTCCCGGAGTCCCAGCGATTTCCCAGAGTCCAATTTTCAATCAATTTCCAATGAAATTAAAAATAGCCCGCGTACATTTCTCTCATTTAAACGATTTCCATACTTTAAACGCTCATTTTAGCCAAAATATCATAATCAATCAGCTAATTTTCATTTTATTGTTCAAATTTTAATCAAATTCGTTGCAGGAGCTATAAGGCTTGGTAAATACGCTTAAAAGTTGGCTAATTCAAATGAAAACTGGTAGATTAAGGTCGTTTTTCTGATAGTTTGTCGAAAATTTGGTGTCTTTTAGAAATTAGGATTAGAGGATGTGAAAGCATTTGATGGAAAGACGAATGTTGACGGTTTGATGACAGTCAATAAGCTATAGATTGTGAAATTATCAATTAAATTGCAGGATTACCGTTATAGATTAAAAAGCTGTTCAAGTTTTGATTCGAAATCACATGAGGATCAAGGTGTTTATGTTTATTGGGGAAATTTGATAGTCACTGAAGTTTTCTAGATTTTCTAGAAGTCTAGATCTTTCTAGAAGTCTAGATCTTTCTAGAAGTTTAGATCCTTCTAGAAGTCTAGATCTAGCAGTATTCTAGACTCTAGTGAAGTTTTCTACGTTTTCTAGACTTTCTAGAAGTTTAGATCTTTCTAAAAGTCTAGATCTAGTAGAATTCTAGATTCCAGTGAAGTTTTCTACATTTTCTAGATATCTAGATCTTTCTAGAATTCTAGATCTAAAAGTTTTCTATATTCTCTAGCTTTTAGATTTCTTGTTTAACAAATTTACGACTAAATATCTTCTCAAAAAGTTTTCTTTTTCATTAAACCATTTTTGCAAAAACTTCCGTTCCCGGGTGGACTCGAACTACCAACCTTTCGGTTAACAGCCGAACGCGCTAACCACTGCGCCACGGCAGCAGTGGAAAGGGGTGCGAGAAAGGGCTTTTTAAACAGTGACATCATCAATTTGATTCAGAAAATTTTAAAGATTCAACTAAATTCCAGAATTTTTTTCCAAAATTATGCTAAAGCACGAGATTTTCGAGGACATTTGGCCAATTCCTATTTTTCTTTTTCCTGTCGTCGCATGTTCATCAAGAATTTGATGTTGAACAAAGAAAAGGATTTGATGAGTGTTTTTCTTCATTTTCATCATCATTCTTTTTCTTTACTTGAACAAGTTTTTGTGTTTCCGTAAAGCTGGAAAGAACTTTTGTTTATTTAAAACACAGCCATCTTTTTAGGGAAATGAACTATAGATTCAAAGTCACATTGAACTATTTTCAATTCAATCTGACAAACACAAATCATTTCAAATACTTTCTACAAGACGAATCGATCAATTGAAAAGAAATATTTTATTTATTGGGTTGGCGAATTGAAAAAAATTGAATTGCCGGACTTTGAACTAAAATTTATTCTATATAAAACCATAAATTCATTCCAAATAATTTCCATTATTATTGACGACTTCTGCCCATTTTACAGGCAATTTGTGAATTCTTCTTTCGTAGTAGGATTTTGGTTTGTGTGTGAGACAAGTGTGCGACTCAAAAATGGAGGACTGCAGATGTCCCAGTTTGAGCACTTTCTTCAAAAGAAACCCATTTTGGTGTCAATAGAAAGTTGTAGAGAATCAAAAATGAAGCTTATAGCCAAATTTCCAAAAAGATACACTTAGTAGTTTTGCTTAAAATGCAAGTTTTGTGAAAATTCGTAAATTTGGCATTTCTTAAAAACCAGTTTTTGAATCGTTCTGAAAATTTGGATATAAGCTTAATTTTTGATTCTCTACAACTTTTCTATTGACACCAAAATGGGTTTCTTTTGAAGAAAGTGCTCAAACTGTCACATATGACAATAGCCAGCGGTTTTCAATTCACCAACCCAATAAAAACGTCTCTATTCACTTTTTCGTCTTTATTGTCAACTAGTGACTGTAAAAGGTTGAAATTAAAAAGAAAAAGACGGAGTTTGAAAAAATCAAGAGAAAACGATTCTAGTGAACATCGGATCTAGAACCGGATCGGGTTATGATCTGCTAGCTGGTTGGTGATTGGATTCGATTCGAGCACATGTTATATCAGATCATGTGTTACATCAGATCATGTGTGCAATGCGTGAGAGGTTACCGATGGTATTTAGATATTTAGATATTTAGATATTTATTCAGAATCTAGCACAATCACTAATCTAACGAGAAAATACAATAAAATAAATAAATTAGAATCAATCGTTGGTTCAGTGTTTCAAAGCCAAAGAAAAGCAATATAAAGTGGGCTCCGTCCCTTTTTATCACAAAAACGATCTTTAGAAGAAGGACAAGAGAATTAGAGATATTCAAAATCAAAACATCATCATCTAATCTAACGAGAAAATACAATAAAATAAAATCAATCGTTGGTTCAGTGTGTCAAAGTCAAACAAGAAAGAATACAAAGTTTTTCCTTCTTTTCGATATCGATTGACGATTCGATTGACCCGAATCCGTTGGTCATTTTCTCTCCTGAAGCAGAAGAGTCATCGCTCCACGACCGATTTGGTATTCTCGGGATGTTGTGTCGCGGTGAGTGTTGATCGCTCTCTGATGAGCCTCGTTTCCTTCATCCACAGCCCTAGCAGCGCCGTTGAGCTGCTGAAGTGTGACTGAGTTAGATTTAACAGTGCACCATTGTAGACAAGGATAGAAGCATCGAGCATACTTCCCATATTTCTTGCTGTTTTCATCCTGCGGCACGTCTTTGATTTGGTACTTCTGGATGATCGCGTCGATGTTGTGCTGTTCCTCCGGTGGCATATAGTACATCTCATACGCCAGGATGGTGCTAGCCATTTCCTTGACGTTTCGACCACTACAGATAGCAAACCCAACATCCATGTGATGGGGGAAATGCCCCATAATTTTATGGATTATGTTTAGAGCAGCTAGTCCGGATCCTTCCATTCGGAGAGAGTGTGCTCGGCGGAAAATATTGTTTTTCTCCTGAACTTGTTGATTGCAGAGGGTAAGTGCGGTCAAGAGGGCTTTGGAAGCAGCTCCGATGTTGGATAGAAAATGGAGCACCGACTCTTGCAATAGGAAACGGGCTTCATGCTCAGTTGTATTGAAGAGTGCCGCGAGTTCCGTCGTCTTGGCGTATATCGGAAAGTTTTCTACATTTCCACTATATACGAATCGATAGGCAAGGAGACACATTCTTAAGAAGTGACCCGGCTTGGTCGCCGTGAAGGTATTCGACATCCCGACTTTGTCATCAAATTTGTTTACTCCTTCTTTTTCGTTTCCTTGGTCTCCTCTTTGTTTCTTCACTGCTCCGTCGACGACGCTCATTAGCGTGTTTTGGCATTTGGCATGGATGTTGCCTCCCTCGATCATGTTGTCGAATTTCGCAGCCCATGGAGAATCGGGTTCCGGGGCTTCGAATAGTGGTGTCCCTTCGGACCCTCGGAGTGGAGCGTAAGTGAGGATTAGCATTAGGGCTTGTTCGGACGGTGACATTCCGGACCCTGCTACATCGGCTCCATTGATTAGTCTCTTTACAAGGGCGGCAGCACAGGCAACCTTTTCAACGGCTAGGACTTCTTTTCGATTCGCTCCGATGTTGTAGAAGCCTTTCAGAGGTATCTTTGAGAAGTCAAAAAACTCGTAGTCTTTTTTGTCGTAGTCAGTTAGTCTTTCGAGTAATCGGAATTTTCGATTCAGGTCGTCCCAGGTCGGTTTTTTAACCTCGAAATCGTCGTTTCTTGGGGCTTTTCCCTCCATTTACGTTTTGTTGGCACCACAGTCGAAGAACGCTAGTGTTGTGTCCGTGATTTGGTTGTCTGGGTTGAAGAGATGCACTTCCCCAGTCACCAACGCTTCACCGTCTCGCAAACGATCAGCCGAAATGCTTGTTGGTGGCTTGTGATGCTCTCGGTCGCGTTGCGGCCCTCTCTCCGATCAGCTCTTCACAAAAGAATGATCTCTCTCCACTCGCGACGCTTTCTTCCCCGCTTTCTTCCCCACTTTCTTTCTCTTTCTTTCTCGTGGTCTCTCTCGAGTGATCCCTTCTTCTCTTTCTTGAAGGCGATCCACTCACACGACGTCGGCTTTCTCTCTTCCGCTCGTATCCCTTGCTTCCCTCGCTCGTCTTTTCTCCGTCGAAGCACTCTCTCAAGCTCGGCTCTCTCTTCTCTCTCTTCCCTCTCTTTCTTGTCTCTTTTTTGTCGTCGGTTTTCTCTCTCGTGACACTCTCTTCGTCGCTACTCGTTGGTGGCTCGAAAATGGATTGGAACCTCTGCTTGATCAGACGATCAGATCAAACGTCTATCGAGTAGTTCCAGTTGGCCCACGTGATTCACGCTGAGCAGTGCCGATTCTGGGATTCGTGTGGCTCCACAGAACTTCACGTACTCACGGGTCTCACCGGGTTTCGTAGTTGAACTGCGTACCAAAACGTGCAGAGAGGGTACCGATGGAGCAACGATTATTTAGATATTTATTCGGAATATAGCACAATTTATAATCTAGCGAGAAAATATAATAAAATAGAATCAATCGTTGGTTCAGTGTTTCAAAGCCAAAGAAAAGCAATATAAAGTGGGCTCCGTCCCTTTTTATCACAAAAAAGATCTTTAGAGGAAAGACAAGAGAATCAGAGATATTCAAAATCAAAACATTAAATAAGATTTCACAGAAAAGAGCTACTTTTCTGTACACTCCGCAAAAAGTCAAAGGAACAATCTAAAAACAAATTTGGTTGCTTGATACTTGATGCTTGATAAGCTTGGGCAAGAGAAGTATTACGGCAATAAAGCTTAGAAGGATGGGAAGATGATCTGTCACCACCGCCTCCGCGAACTTCTTCATCTCGTCCCACATTGATCGCTTCTTCATTGTCGCGTCTCCAGTGACCCATCGATTTCCGTAGTTTGGAAAGTAGACGGGTTGACCGATGACCCTCGCTTTCCTTGTCCCACCTGGACACTTCAGCTCGCACTCTTGGTCGATCACCGCTTGCAGAAATCTCATGTTGGTCACTCGTTTCTGCTGGGTGCCATCGCATTGGAGCACCGCCGAGATCGCTCCACATTGCAATTCGGCCAGTTGTTTACCGAATTCGGAACAAAGAACGACATAAAGTACTTCAGGACATGAAGTACAAAGAACGACATGAAGTACCATGGAGTACCCAGTCTCACACGCAAAGCAGTCGGTCAGAAGCCATGAAAAGGGGTGCGAGAAAGAGCTATTTAAAAAGCTTTCCTTTTCATTAAAGCATTTGCAAAAACTTCCGCTCCCGGGTGGACTCGAACCACCAACCTTTCGGTTAACAGCCGAACGCGCTACCCATTGCGCCTAAGCAGTGGAAACGGGGACGAGAAAGAGCTTTTCAAACAATGGCATCATCGGTTTTTGACTTATAAGTACGTAAGAACTTTTTCTGATCGTTAAATTGGGTGAATTCTGGAAAAGTGTCCCAGCAATCCCAGCAATCCCAGCAATCCCAGCAATCCCAGTAATCCCAGCAATCCCAGCATTCCCAACAATTCCAGCAATTCCAGCAATTCCAGCCATTCCTGACACCGGTGAATACTTCCAGCAAAGTACATCGAAACAACCTAAAAACTAGTTATCCTAGCTCTAAAACCCTCGTACAGTAATGATCCTCTAGAATGCGTTAAAAGCCTCGTACTTTTCCTAGCATTTGCTTCCTTCTTGGTTTAACGTCTTCTGTACTTAGTAGTAGTTAGTACTCAGTACACATTCTACAAGTAGATTATTTCAAATCGAGTCCACTGAGTGAATAAGTTGTCGGGAAATCATTTGATTTTCGTAAAACTTTTCCTCTTTCTTTAACCATTAAATATTTAGAATATGTCAAAAATAGACTAAAAAGTCGGGACCTAGTCAAAACAACGCCGTTCAAAACAGCGCTGCCAAAACAGCGCCGTTCAAAACAGCGCCAAATTGAAAAAGACTGCGATTAGATTTTTCAACCCCAATGTTTTTATACTTCTCATCAGAACTTGTAACTTTTATTATTTTTTAAACATTTTTAAGCACCTTGCGCGTGTTTTGACAAACCGACAGATTATTTCATCATCAGAATAAGGTTTTATGGCCCATTTTAAATAAACAATGCGACACATTTTGTTTTTCATCGTTTTTTTTTCTTGTTTTTTCTGTTCTTGGGATTTAATTTTGTGTTTTTTTTAGGTAAAAGAACGTCGCCTGAAGGAATAGAAGACTCGTTGCAAGTGATTCGGCGTGGCTAGTGATAAACACAGGTACTTTCACACAATATATTAGGTTGATGCATAAGTCTTTTTGTTCCTTTTCGTCTGCCGTTTCAAGCCAACAAATGCACCAATTAAACTACGGTTGATTTCATTAGAAAAACCAATTATTTTTCTGCAAAATAACATTAAAACGGGTTTAAAAATATTTTATGCCTGGATTTTCTTGAGAGTATGAAGTCGGGTAGTCAAAAAGGGCTAACTCGATGATGCGGTTTAGACACCTTAGCTAAAGAAAACCTATCTTCGTGTCAATAGATAAAAGATAGAGAAAAAAAACGTTTGATATTTCGCCAAAATTTCAGAGAAATCCATTAAGCCAATTTTTCCGTAGAGTTTTTTATAGATTTTTACGAAAAAGGCGTTTTTCACTCTCGAATTTGCTTGAAAGTGAACCGAAATTCATTTAAAAAGATGCAAATTGAACAAAAAAACACTTTTTTTATAGAGCAAACTATAGATTAATTGGTGAATTTGTTACTTTTTAACAGAAGTACGAAAAAAACGAAAAGACTTATGCATCAACCTAATAGTTTGCGAAGAAGTTCTACTTGTATCAGGTAATAACTTTGTTTCTTTGATCTTAAATAAATGTAATAAGATTGATTAAGCCAGCTTTTACACTTTTCTGCAAAATTTTGGTATCTCAACATCTTTTTTAATTTAGGGATGTCGCTATCTCAGAAAGGTGGAGTGGTACTTTACGATGAAGATGGACACGAGTATCGGAAGGACAATACAATCCGAAAAGGGGTAGCTACAGCTTATCGGTAACTTCTTTTTACTAGTTTGGTTGTATATTCGTTGAAGATTTTAAAGTTTTCTTTCAGTTGTACGAAAACAAACTACCGGGGAAGGATGCATAAAGATGAAGCAACTGGAGTCCTTTCTGTCACCAACGAGCACGCTATGACCTGCCTGCCACTGAAAGAAAAAGAAGAGGTACGTATTGTTTTGTTTAACTTATTGTTTCTTGTTTATATTTTTAGATACGTGGGATACACTGTGGCGCTAAAAACGATCGAATTGCTGGAGTTCCGACGAAGGAAATTATTAAACGACGTGTTCTCGGAGCTATGGCAACACATCAACCATACATTTCGGTTGTTTTCATTTCTTCAAGGCCATCTTTCGCAAAATTAAGGTTATTAAACTTTGGTTTTTTTAATATTTATCTATTCTTTTAGGAGAAGAAACTACAAGACATCTATTGTGATTCAAATACGTTTGTCTACGTGAAAGGATTGCTTGCACTAACATTCTGTTGATGTCTTGCGATATTTTCGTGTACTACGAGATGAAGCCTTCAAACAAATTCCCTCCCTTATTAATGAGTTACAAGGTTTGTTGCTTATCTTTGTTATAGATTTAATTTTTTAAATTAGGCTTATATTCGTACTTCGAAAAATCTTTTGTTGGATTTGTTCAAAATAGTCGCTTCATTCGACCGACACACTCCATTGAAATGTGGAACTCGTATGATACAATCTGTCGTGGCGAACAACTTGGCAACTCGTCTCAAGAATCTTACAATTCTTTACTAAAGGTTTGTGTTTTTAATGTTTAGTTAATGTTTAAAGATTTAGGCTCTTACTTCACGATGTTCTGCTCGCTATGTTGCTCAAAAGCTACTAGATGTTCAAGAAGACTTCGAAAAACGTTTTCTTGCGGCTACATCTCGGCACATGACTCTACCTCAATCTTCACCTCAATCGTCGAAAGTTCTTCACGGCCACCGTGTGAGAAAAGTTGCGGTTCAAAATGGATCTTTGGGTAAGAGTCCAGTCGATCATTTAAAATCTTTATGTTGTTATATTCATATGTGTTAACTCCGTTGTTTCATTTTTTCATTTCGTTAATTGAATAAACAAGTTTTTATGTACTATTTTACTTGAGAATGTAAAAAGTAAAAAATAAAGCCTTTATCGAAAACTCCAAAAGAGCATTGGTTAATCTACATTAAAATCTTTGAATTTGGCGCTGTTTTGAACGGCGCGATTTTTGTATGGACGCTGTTTTAAAAGACGCTGTTTTGAATGGCGCTGTTTTGAACGGCGCTGTTTAGGTGGCGCTATTTTGACTAGGTCCCAAAAAGTCGATATTTTAAATCAAAAAAGAGACTCAATCAGCACTCAAAATCGATTTTGCTAGGATAACAGGGGTGAACATGTGTCTCAATTCAATTCCTTTCCTTTCCTTTCCTTTCTTTTCTTCTTTTCCCTTCAATCAAAAGCTCTTTCCTATCATTCTTTTTCCTCAAAATATGCTCAAATGATCATCTTTTCTTTCTTTTTCCATCATCATGCAACACCTCTGCAAAATCGGCTGATAAAAGCTATTCAAAAAGAATGCTGCAAACCCCATTTGGATTAGAAGACAGTGACAGTGAGAATGAGCGATTCAATCGATGCTCTGTGCATATACAGGTGAGCAGAAGATAGAAGATAGAAGATTTTCTTTTAAAGTTTTCCTTTTAAAAGCAATTTTGTAAAAACTTGCGGTCCAGGGCGGACTCGAACCATCAACCCTCCAGTTAACAGCCGAACGCGCTAACCATTGCGCCACGGAAGCAGTACAAAAGGGGGCGAGAAAAAACCATCTAAACAATGACACCATCGATTTTGATTTATTTCCTTTCTAGAAACTTTTCCTGAACGCAAACTTGAATGAATTCTGTCAAGTGTCCAATCCCGGTACCAGCCTTTAAAGCATTTTCGAAACAAAGCTGTTTTTATCGATGGTGCAAGAAAAAGCCATTTAAACAATGGCATTAATGACATACTTGTTGACATTCTTGTTGACATACTTGTTGACATACTTGTTGACATTCTTGTTGACATTCTTGTTGACATTCTTGCTGACATTCTTGTTCACATTCTTGTTCACATTCTTGCTGACATTCTCGCTGATAAGGAACATGATGAAAATAATCCTTTTACAAGGCATTGATCTCCGGAAATCTCATTTTTGAATGTAATGAGAAACAGAAATGTAACAAAAATAAAAAATAACAGAAATAGAAAAACAAAAATGAAAGAAAATCATATCAGCGATATCAGGGAAATTACTCAAAAAAGAAAGCTTATTTAGGTCAATGCCTGATATCCCTTCTGATCCCTTTTGATCCCTTTTGATCCCTTCTGGTCCCTTCTGATCCCTTTTGATCCCTTCTGATAATAAAAGTAGCAAGAAATGAAAAGCTTTTTGACTTATTTTCACTTATTAAATCCAATTCTAGACGTGGACCTATATTCATAATGGGATCTCGACTTTCGTCTGCCTCATCGCGTTCATCTTCGGCGTTATGGCACTGCTTTGGCCTGAGTGGCACGAATGGTTGACTCTCTATAAGCAATATTTAGCAGTAAGTTTAGAGCAATGACAATACCAAAAACGATAGCGCGAAACGATAGCGCGAAACGATAGTCCAAAACGATAGCCCAAAACGATAGCCCAAAACGATAGCCTAAAACGATAGCCCAAAACGATAGCGCATATCAAATTCAGTACGCTCGCCGAGCAGATCCAATCCTTTACTGGCTTTGCTACAAGATTTTCTTCATCTCATGGATTTTCATTCATGTCACGCATTTTATGACGATAATTGTTACGATCATTGGGATACAGGTTTGCTTGTTTTCTTTGATTTTTGATTGATTTCAAAACTTCAAAACTTTTCAGACAATCCGTCCATCGCTCGTTTTTCCGCAACTCATTCATTTAATGGTTCATCTAGGGCTGCTAACTGTTTTGCTAGCAGGTTGATTTCATTTGGGTTTCAAGAAGTTTGAAAAGAGATAAATCTAAAAATCCAGAAATAGATTCTGGCCTGACTTCTGACTTGATTATAGTGTTTCTTGCGAACCTGAATAGAGAAACGGACCGTACTCACGCGTAGTCGAAGGCTAAGAACCACTGAAACTGTAATCCAGGCTAAAAACCACTGTAACTTTCTTTAGCATTCATATTTTCGGATGTGCTTTAGTCGATTCGAAAGCTTTTAAAATTCTTTGCTTTAGAAGGAATAGTTCATGTCAATCCGACAGCTTTTAAGCAAGTTAGAAGCGTTTTTATTGTGACAGTTCGTCATTTTTATAGTTTATAGTGCTCATGTCAACTCTAGACCTGACCTAGCTTTGGTGGCTCACAAAAAATGTTTGAAAGCAAGTCTAGGCTAGGCAAGTCTAGAAGGAAAGTCTAGGCAAGTCTAGCCAAGTCTAGACAAGTCTAGGCAAGTCTAGCCAAGTCTAGACAAGTCTAGGCAAGTCTAGCCAAGTCTAGACAAGTCTAGGCAAGTCTAGCCAAGTCTAGACAAGTCTAGGCAAGTCTAGCCAAGTCTAGACAAGTCTAGGCAAGTCTAGCCAAGTCTAGACAAGTCTAGGCTAGTCTAGTCAAGTCTAGGCAAGTCCAAAAGGAAAGTCTATGCCTGACCTAGCTAAATCGATTGAAATCTCTCTGTTGATACGTGCACTAGATTCTTTTTTCGTCGACACTGATTCGGTGTCACGAATTGAATTGAATGCCAGAAAGGGTGTGTGTCCATTTTGAAGTTCTTTCAAAAGAAATATATCAATAAATCTATCAATAAATCTATTTCTAAAGCATTTATATCTTTTCTCTAAAACTTTGCTATATTTTCTATATTGTTAAACCCATTCAGCCGTTCTAATCATTTGCTCGACGGCCGCAAAAATAGCATGGTTCACACTGGGGCTCATCTTGATCTTTATGTTTCCTGTTTGGTAAGTAAAAAAGAAATACAATCTGTTCTAGAGTCTGTTTACAGTCACCTCTTGTAATTTCCATTTAATGATAGCCAAAATTTCAGTTCAAATCTCTACATTCTCGTCGTCTTCTACGAGTTTATCTACGAGAAATACGACGCTCTTCAAGCGGTGCTCGCGAACACAAAACAAGTGCATTTTAAGGAAAGATGATAAATTGAAGGGGGAAATGAAAAAATTGAAGGGGAAAACAAAAAATGATAAATTTGAAACGGGTTTTCTGAATTTTTACATAGATAAATTTATTTTTTTTTTATTAATAACAAGCAAAAGATTGTCGTTTCTTTCAACAACAAACAACAAATCAAAACAAGGGCAAAAAAACGGGAGTGGGACAAATGCGACCTTTTTTTGCGCACCCGCACATTTGCGCACCTTTTTTTCCGCACTTAGCCCATTAGCGCACCTTTTTTCGCTTTTTAAAAAAGCTAATATTAACCTAAAGCTCTAAAAAGCTGATATTAACCAATTTCTATTCCAAAAGTTCTTTTTCTAGGTAATTTTAGGGCGTAGAATCGAAATTTTGGCATATCAGAGCTTGTGGAAGCGAACGGACGGAGTTATATAAAGAGAAAAATCAACAATTGTAATTCTACGCAACAATTGTAATTTGATCTAGCCCGTTTTGTCTTTCAAATTGGTTCCACACGCTTTGTTATGTGAAAATTTGAATTCGACACCCTCAAATTACCTAGAAAAACAACTTTTGGAATAGAAATTGGTTAATATTAGCTTTTAGGTGCGTGGTGCGGTGCGCAAAAGGTGCGCTAATGGGTTAAGTGCGGAAAAAAAGGTGCGCAAATGTCCGGGTGCGCAAAAAAAGGTCGCATTTGTCCCACTCCCCAAAAAAACGCGATAATTTGAAAAGAGATCCGAGAAATTAATTAAATAAAAGCAAAACTTTAAAACAAGTCTAAGTTTACTTGCAATTGTTAGCAAGTTCTTCTTTACTTCAAAAGTTTTCCTTTTCGTTAAAGCATTTGCAAAAACGAGCCCGCTCCCGGGTGGACTCGAACCACCAACCTTTCGGTTAACAGCCGAACGCGCTAACCATTGCGCCACGGAAGCCGTTGAGAGGGGTGCGAGAAAAAGCTATTTAAACAATGGCATCATCGGTCTTTGATTTATAACTAATTTTTTGATCACAGACTTGGATTGATTCTGTAAAATGTGACCTAGCCACCGTAATCCTAACTCAATTGAATAAGACTACCGTAGTAATTCCTGTCTGGAAACGGTATCTATGCAAAGATAGGGAGATTACGGTAACTAGGGCAATTTTAGAGCTATTGTACCCAAAAATTCATAAGTTAATTGCTTAACGATGGGGATAATCGTTTTGGGTTAACTGTTTACTTTCTGTAGCCCAAATCGGTGGATTTACAAGCGGTAGATAGCGATTTCCTGTCGTCGTTGTCATTGTTGTCGATCTCTCGTCATCATCATCATCAACAATCACTTCTTGTTCATCCAATGTGCTCACCGTTTCTTCAAGGACCACCTAAAAGAGGAACTTTTTAGATTAGGCCATACATAACATGATTTTTATTATCATTTATCCAATCGCTCACCTCTCCGTGATGATAGATATGCTCGTGTTGATAGCGGACGTGCTGTGGATTGTTGAGAAACGTGCCATCATCAAGATATGATCCGCTGTGTTTGATCGGTATTGAAATCACCTGGCCTAAACTATGGAAATGGAAATTATAACTTAACTTAACTCAATTATAACTTTTTATTATAAACTCACTGGTGTATGGTCTTTTCAACGATGCACGAGAAGGTTCCGTGCCGAAGAGGCGACTACTCGGGATTTTGATGAAACGGAACTAAAATGGAACTAAAATGAAACTAAAACAGAGCATTTATTTGATTTAGATCTTCAGAAAAGATAGGATTTTACATTTAAAATATAATTTAAGCTTTTGCAATTCTTTATGAACAAGAAAACAAAAGGCCAATGTCAAATCACCGGCGCTTGTTCAGGTTTCGGCGCAATAATCGGGATTTGCTGTGACTGTTGGGATGGGAGCTGAAAATTGATCTTTCTAGAGAATAAACACTAGAGAATAAACAACATTCCTTGAAAACTTTCAAGGAATTGTTAAGTTTTAAATTTTTTTAATAGACTAAAACTGATTCTAGAAAATTTTACCTGCAAATTCGTCACTCTCCTCATCGTTACCCGTTTCCCGGCGATGAGCACCGTTTTAGTTGGGCTGACGATTGTTGGTGCAAGTTCTGTATAAAAAAAAATGTATTTGCTCTAAAACTCTTTCCAAACCTTTTAAGCCAATTTGTTCATTTTGCCATGATGTCGATGTTGATGGAATTGACGCGGTGACATCTTTCGGCACAATGATTTTCGAGCGTCTGCACCCCAAATTCTCGTCCGTTCCACAAACGTCAATGTCTGTGCTCTGAAAAATCGTAAATCATTTCATTTTGCTTCAAGAATTTAAGCTGCCAACCAACAGCTATTTAAGCTTTAAGAAAATTGTCTGAAAAAAACTTTTTAAGGCATTCAAAACATTGCCAATCTGTCATTCGATTGAAAATTTCAATTCAATCAATTTTCATTATCGATTTTCATCAACCTCAACATAAAGCTCGTCATCATCGTCTTCATCATGGATACTTTTCGATGTCGTTTCATGTGTATCATCAATTTCATCCGCATCTTCATCGTCATCCAATTGATGAGCTGTTGAATGGCGACCGATCGATTGTTTTCCCTCGTCAAGCGGTCGAAGAGGATTCAGCACCCAGGAAACAAACTAAATACCGTAAAAACTAAAAGGAGCGTCGCATAATCGAAGTTTACCCTTAAACAAACGCTCATAACTTGACACTAGTACGCTTTTTTCTACTGGTTTAAGTATCAAATTAAAGTAGAGAAAAGGGTGATTTTTTTTTAAGATATAACACAGATATCTAGCATTAACCAGCCAGCAGAAAAAATGATTGAAAAATGATTGAAAAATCGGCTTAGGCTTAGGCAAAAAAAGTACATTAAAGTGCAAAAAGTCCTTTCTGGCACACTGAACATTTTCCTCTAGCAATAATTTAGTATCATAGAAAAAATGTGGATTGTTTTTGCACCAGAAAGTATGCGTTTACATTTTAGAGAGTACAAAGCACAGGATACGGTTCAAAATTTTGATGCTAAAAATGCTAGCAATGCATATTTTCTAAAAAAAATCGGCTAACCATTCTCGTGCACAGCTCTCTGCCAACAATCACCATTGCCCTATCAACATCATCTTCAGGAAAATTGTCACAGTTCACAAAGGCGAACCCTGAAATGTGTTTGATTTTGAAAAACCGCTAATGAGCACTGTTTCACTCAAAGACAATCTTATTTTTCTCACAAACAGGCTTTGTCCAATGATGAAAAAGTTCCAGGTTTGGCTAGACTAGGTTCCAGGTTTGGCTATGCCCATGACTCCAGCCATAGAATATTTTCTGAAAGAATAATCCTACTCACAAATCACTAACCATCTTCAGTATGTTGCATCTGCAATTGAAGCGACTTCAGCACCACATTGTGATAGTATTCTTTGATATACTCGAGCATGTACATTAAACAATCGGTTCGATCCTCGAAACGGGTGCCTAAATTTCACATCTACTTCTAATTTAAAATCTAATAAACTTAGCCTAAAATCTCTTATTTAAAACGATCAATTTTCCCACCATCAATCTTTGTTCCAAAGCCGCTCTCGTGCAGTGTGTGCACCTCCAAGTCTGGCGGCCAAAATGCAACATTTCTTCTAGGGATCCAACTGTCGTTTGCCTGAAACAAAAAACAAAAGATTCTTAATTAAAATCTAGTTCTTAAAGTAATCCTTTCAATACCTCGAGTTTTCCATTTCTTAGACTCACCTTAATCTTGAAAAAGTGCATTGGGAAAGTGCATCGTTGCATCTCCTTGTAGAAGTACAATGTTAACGCGTTTTCCTCACGTTCCTAAAGTGAAAAGTCTACAATTTACTTGGCTTATAACTTTATAGATGTTTTTTTGTTTCTATTTGTTTGATAATTTGTTTGATATTCACCTTGTCAACGAGATCCTCGAGCTCCGATGGGTCCCGGGGGGAAAAGACGGGCACTCGGATTGTATTCTGAAACGTTGAAATGAAATGTTTGTTAGTCAAAGTTATTTCAAATTTCTCTTCAATCTAATTCTTGATTTAAAATAAAGCAGTCCTCTAAGCAATAAAGCAGACCTTTAGCAATTGTTTGGGTAAATTCTCTTGACATATTTCATCTTTCAATGTGCTTCGTAGAGCAGCACGGGCGATATCGCGAGATCCGTAGAAAGTCAGCGATGGATTGTCGTTTCTTGGATCATAGGCAACTGAAGAATTATAATTAGAAATTAGTTAGAGTCTTGAATTGAAAAGTATAAACTATCATATCCTCATAGAAGCGCATCATCTAATAGAAGCGCATCATCTAATAGAAGCGCATCATCTAATAGAAGCGCATCATCTAATAGAAGCGCATCATCTAATAGAAGCGCAGCATCTAATAGAAGCGCAGCATCTAATAGAAGCGCAGCATCTAATAGAAGCGCAGCATCTAATGGAAGCGCAGCATCTAATAGAAGCAATAACTATGGATCTTTAGCTTAGTCGACCAAATACCCTGAGTTTTAAGCCTTTAAAGATATTGCTAAAGTTCATTATTGCTTAATCAATAGCTTTTCTTGCATTTACTACGATAGTGACATCTCGATTAAAGCTGGCGACTCTAAAGAAATCTAACAGTAAAGAAATCTAACGGTAAAATTGAGAATAACGCTTTTTTGATGCTAAAAGTTTCCTTTCTACAAACTACTTCACTTTTTTAGTCATTGAAAAAAGAAATGCAGCCTCTAATCGAAGTACTTTTGTTAAATAATTGAAAAATAGAAGCGCTTTTATTAGAATCAATAAGGTAATCAAAACTTGCTGCTCCTAAATTTGTTTTCAACAATTTTTCTTGAAACTTGAACGAATTTAGAACGAAAATTTAGCTTTGAATTTCGAAAAATCCATTTTCCATCTAGTTTTTGACTAAAAAATTACTTAAAAGAAAGAATTATTGGGTTGTCCAGTTATGAATGCGCGTTTTTACTATTTTGTAAATTTCTCAAGATATCGAACAGATGTATATGAGTGTTATATATCATTCGAAAGCCCAAAATCTCCTCTACATTTTGATATAAAAAGCTTTGGAATTTGTTCAGCTTTTGGGCAAATTGATTGCACAAAGGGAGAGGTCGTTTTCCCAAAAAAACCCATTCCAGCTAAGCTATTCCTCAAGTTTTATGGTGGAAAATAACCGTCCAGAAAAGTAAAGATGCTCTGAAATTGTTATATTTTTAAAAAAAACTTGTATTGATATATCTATTGGCCGAACATTAAACGGTTAACTCAATTTGAGCGGAGCCAAAACTTGATCCAAAGGCACCCTTCCATTTTTTGGCCACCTCTTCTTCTGTGCAGTCAATTTGCCCAAAAGTTCGACAAATTCAAAAGCTTTTTATATCAAAATGTAGAGGAGATCTTCAGCTTTCGAATAATACTCATATATATCTTTTTCTTGATTTCGGTATCTTGAGAAATTTACAAAATAGTAAAAAACGCGCATTCATAACTGGACAACCCAATATCTGAATGAAATTTACTTGCTTTGGAAAGCTTTTGTTTATCGAAAACCCACTCACCCAACATGTAATGCACCTCGGATCGATGATTCAACTCGACCATGTGCCGCAGCGTTTGTCCCATCGATCGGCGGAGTGCCATCACCGACATTGCACTATCTAAATCGATAAACATTTTAAAGCATATTCAAATTATGGCTAATCGAATTGCTTAGGCTTAGGCTTAGGCTTTCACTCAAAAAACTTTTCCCCACCTGTGCCCACGTGTTTCCGAACGAATCGTTTTCCCCGTTTCATCACTTCGCATCGTCTTCTCGGCCCTTCGAGCATCGTGGGGCTCATCTAAAAAAGAACAATCATTAAACAAACCCTTAACAAACAAGCCCTTAAACAAACAAACAAAGTTTTTCTGAGAAAAGCAAACCAAATTACACCTAGTAATCAGTCTCCGTTGTGTGGTAAAGTACATTCAACGAAAAGTACGGTAGCTGATCCACGATAGACTTTAGGGCTAAACTAAGGGCTAAACTTTAGGGCTAAACTAAGGGCTAAACTTTTTTAACCATAATTCTTAAGGACTTAAAGACTCAGAGAATAGAATAGCTACTGTTGCCTTTCCTAATATCAACAATAGCTATTCTATTCTATTCTATTCCCGATTCTATTCCCTATTTTAAGACATACCGGTTTTAACCACTGGTATGAGGCTCACGTATCACTTTTTATTCAAAAGAATTTCTAACTATAGTAAATAAGTAAGCAAATAGTAAGTTAACTGAGTCAAAACGAATCTTTTTACATTCTAGATTTAATTATATTACTTTAAATGATCTTCTCAAAAATATCCACCGTTTATTTGTCAAAAAAAAAACTAAACTGGAGAAGCCAACATTTACATATCAAGAGCCTAAAGCTGGTATAGCATCAGATGTGTTTGATTCAAACAGTTACCAAATCTTCATCTTTCAATGGTGATGCTGCTTTCAATCCAAGGGAAGAACCCTTGGATTGCAAGCATTCAAGGGCTAGAAGCAATGCAGCAATGCAGATTCATTCCACTTCATCAACGAGAGTATGCCATCACAGAGCTTCCACAAGTTTTTTTTGGCGTATCGAATACATTTGTATACCTCGGATACCAAATAGGAACTATAAAGAACCAAATAGGAAGCAAATAGGAAAATTCTTCTTTGACGACATCAATCAATCGCTTCCTGTCCTCCCGGCACTCTGCTACGGGACAGAGACCTGGGTCACGACACAGACCGCTGAATGAGCCCTGAGAACGACGCATCGAGCCCTTGAAAGGAACCTCCTCGGGTACAATAGGAAGACTCAGCTCGACCAAGATCTAAGTACGGATATGCGCCAGCTCTCGAGACTCAGAGATCCAGTGGAAGTGATTGAGAGAAAAAGACTCAGATGGGCCGGCCACGTAGCCAGAAGAACAGACGACAGATGGACGATACGGATCACAGAGTGGCTACCACGAGACCAGAAGAGGCCCATCGGAAGACCAGCAATGAGATGGAGCACAAGAGTGGCAGAGACCGTCAGAGAAAGGATGGCTAGAGTGCAACCACCACCAGCACCAGCAAGTCGAAGACTTCGAACCAGGAACAATCAAGCTAGGAAACACTGGATGACAATAGCAAGGGATAGAGAAATGGAATGTGGAAGCAGGTTGGGATCTGCGCAAATAGGAACACCTGAGTGCGAAAACAGATCAAAAAAAAATCAATCGCTTCAAGCACTTCGGAAAGCGAAAAAAGAAATCAAGAAAACGACGATCGATCGACGATTGTGGATAGCACACATTCATAACTTATATAATAATGCAAACAATATCTAATACATATGTCGTAGCCGATTATGAATGAAATTTTTTGGCAAATCTTTCTAGTAGAGCAACCCTTTAATGTATGAGGACAATATTATATCATCTTGTAGCGAATTAAATTCTGCGTCGATTGGTACCAAATTTGTAAGTTTAGGTTAAAAATTGCCGGCTCTACAACGTTTCATTCAAAATCGGCGGGAGTTATTAGAGCAAAGTTCAAGAGAAAACTTTGAAGCCCCATAATTTTTTTTCTTTTTATCAAATCTTGCTAATTTAAAAAATTTAACATAATTATCAATGATTCTGCGTTGAATGATACCAAATACTTGATGGTTGGACGCTCCTAGACCCACTAATTCATAATCGTCTACGACACATATACTTTGTGCCACAATCTGTCAAAAAATTATAGACGCACCATGTTTTTTTGCTAGTTTAGAGCCGGACATAAGAGCTAGTCCAGTGAAAAGTATTTTTTTAGTTTTTTTAATGTAAAAAACAACCCATGCAAAATTTCAAGTCATTTCACTCATCCAAAGTACTTTATCGTACAAAAAAACGTTTTATCAGCTGTCAAAAAATTATAGACGCAACTTAAATTTGATGATTTATTCTATCGATAATTGTTAGTTTTTTCTCATTTTTTTTGCTTATTTGCAAAAACTGCGGAAAAGCGTTAAGTTGCGTAGTTTTTGCCTTTTAGCCCAAATTTGACGTGTCAGCGAGGTCTGATTTGTCGAAATTCGGAATCTACGCATACGATTCCCTTATATGGAAATATTTTCGAAATATTCTCGAAGCTCTACGGCCTTGCCTAAGGCCTTTTCCAGCAAAAAAAAGGTGCGCAAATGTCCAGGTGCGCAAAAAAAAGGTCGCATTTGTCCCACCCCCCTTATTAGTTATGTTTATAAATGTTTTTTCATTTTCAGATATGCCACTTGGAAAACAACTGGATGTGGTGAAAAAAAACGCGTATCGATGTGCTCCACACGCTTGGTCACTCAAACAGGGATATTGCTCGTCGCATCGGACGTTCTGAGAGGTGTATTCGCACGTATCTCAAGACCAAAGTGACTCCTAAGAAGAAAGAAACACGGGGCCGGAAGAATGATACCAAATACTTGATGGTTGGACGCAATGATATCATTAGTCTATTTAGCAAAGTTGCTAAAAGAATGAGCCTAAAGCTAGTCTAGTATCAGATGTGTTTGATTCAAGCAATCAATTGCAACCATTTGTCATCCTTTTTATTTATTTGTTCCGGAAAATGATATTAATCTCATCTTCATCGGATGTCGATGACTTCTCAGTAATGTCATCTCGTTCAGCGACCGAATCGATTTTGTGTCGCCACATGTTAACGGATGAAAGCCGAGAGCTCAACTAAAATATAATACAACTCATCTCATCTTCTTTCTTTCATTAAAAAATTTTGGGCAAAGTATTAGAGTAAAGAAAATTGGCTCATTTAGTAAAGAAAACTCATTTAGAATGGCTTTTTACTTGTTACTTGTTAATTTTACTGTAATTCCACTGAAGACCTGCTTTCTTGGATCATTGTAAGCTATCACCGATGATTGCACCGAGTCCATCGATGCCCAATTGCACGATTGATCGACAGCCAAAAGGTCGATCTAAGTACAATAGCTGAAGTACAATAGGTGAAATACAATAGCTAAAAGTACAATAGCTAAGTACAATAGCTAAAAGTACAATAGCTGAAAGTACAATAGCTGAAAGTACAATAGCTGAAAGTACAATAGCTAAAGGTACAATAGCTGTACAATAGCTAAGTACAATAGCTGGAAGTACAATAGCTGAAAGTACAATAGCTGAAAGTACAATAGCTAAAGGTACAATAGCTGTACAATAGCTAAAAGTACAATAGCTGGAAGTACAATAGCTGGAAGTACAATAGCTGGAAGTACAATAGCTGTACAACAGCTGAAAGTACAATAGCTGAAAGTACAATAGCTCACAAAACTCACATCTTGAACAAGTCCACAAAAAGCGCACGTGAACGTGAGCTTCGTTGACGTTTTTCGACATCTAAAACTATGAAATTGTTAAATGTCAATTTTCCTCAAACTTTGCACACTCGACTCGTCCCTTTTTCTTGACAATGAACAAGCCACCACAGAAATGAAAAAGCTGAAAGTATTCATATTGCTTTCATCATTTGTTTCCTTTATAACCTTGGCCTCTTTATCGACCACATCACCCAAGCACATCACATCGTGTTTCACATAACCGCAACGGCATCTGTTTTTTGGGAAAGTCTTTTTGGGAACTGTCTTTTGTCTTTTGAGAATTGAATTTGAATTTACCTTAACGAAAGAGTATCAGTTGGTCGAGTGGGATTCATCGCGGCATGAGCCGGCAACTCGCAAACAGTCAACGGTGGAGGAGCGTAACTGTGTGAATCAAAATTCGATGACTAAAGCTAGAGCTCGGCCAGAAGTCGGGTCCAGTTTTGGATCAGTGCTAGTTGTGTATATTTCTGACCAACCTATTCCTTCTCGACAAGATCCCACTGAGCTTTCGGCCAAGAGATTTCCCAGGGACATCCAGTGTCGACATTTTGTTTTAAATTCGAAACAAAGCTTTCATCAAAAATAAATTCTCTCATGATTTCCCGTGAAACGATACCGTTACCGCCTTTCCCCTGTCACTATTTACTGATGAGCTTTTCACATTGAAGTCTGCGAAAGGTGTGTAAACAAATGAAAAAAAAATGGGAATGCTTGAAATAACGTTGAGAAGTGCTCGCCGGCTTTTCAACAAATTTATTAAAATTTAATATATTACAAGTATATACGTAATCAAGCATACAAGCTCAGGATTCATAATCGTTCAAAAGTAGTATCAACTTTCTCACTTTCTCTTGAAATGATGCACATATTGGTGGCCAAACGTGCGCTCGATTTTCGCCTTTCTCACCGCGTCCAAATGGGCGGATACTCGAGCGATCGTTCGTTTATCGAGAAGTTTCTTCTGAAATGAATAAATCGATATTGAAATTGAAAGCAGTTTCCATACAAAAACCCCAACATCTCTTCATTTCTCTGGCAACTTTACACTGAGTCTGATACACTCTTTGATGAGATTGTTGATATTTGTATATGTCGTAGCCGATTATGAATGAAATTTTTTGGCAAATCTTTCTAGTAGAGCAACCCTTTAATGTATGAGGACAATATTATATCATCTTGTAGCGAATTGAATTCTCCGTCGATTGGTACCAAATTTGTGAGTTTAGGTTAAAAATTACCGGCGCTACAACGTTTCATTCAAAATCGGCGGGACCTCCGTAGCCGATTATGAATGGGTGGGTCTAGGAGCGTCCAACCATCAAGTATTTAGTATCATTCGACGCAGAATCATTGATAATTATGTTAAATTTTTAAAATTAGCAAGATTTGATGAAAAGAAAAAAAAATTAGAGCAAAAAAACTGTTTTTTCAAGAGAAAACTTTGAAGCCCCATAATTTGTGTTCTTTTTATCCAATCTTTCTAATTTGAAAAATTTAACATAATTATCAATGATTCTGCGTTGAATGATACCAAATACTTGATGGTTGGACGCTCCTAGACCCACTCATTCATAATCGGCTACGACATATAAATCCTGTAAACCACCTGTAACTCATCTCGAACTTGTTTTCCTTGTGGCACATCACGTACTCGCCGACCCCACGTGCGACTGCTCTTCGACGACTTCTTTGTGTCGGTCAGCTTTTTTCCGGTAGCTGCCTGAAAATGAAAGACGATAAACACACACAGAGCTGGCTTATTCAGTACAAATACCCTTTTAAATTTTTCTCATTTTTTCTCACCTCAACATCCCTCAAGAATTCCTCGTTATCCCTTCGTTGTGCCTCCTCGACGAGCGTTTGTTGATCAAGGTTTTGCACTGAAAAATATAAAGCTTTATAGAGAGTCGAGAGCTTTATAGAGAGAGAGAATTATTTACTCATATTTTTGTTGTTAGTACCAGCTTTTTTTTTGTCTGATACTAGATTGGTCCACTATAATACTAGACTGATACTAGATTGGTCCGCTATAATACTAGATTGATACTAGATTGGTCCGCTATAAAATATGTAGTTAAGGTAAGCTTTATGTAAGTATTTTGGTATAGTATTTTGGTTTCAAGCTAAATTCTAAGCTTACATTCTCTAATCGGAAATCCCTCGTCATCACGCTCGACGATCACTCCATGAATGGGACATCTAGAGAACAAAAATTACATCAAATTGCATTAACAAGATTTTACTTTTTCATGTCCATTCGTGGACATAGCTTTCCGTTGGCCAAACGCGCTCGACAAGGCTAAAAGAAAATTGCGGGGAAGTTAATTATTCAGAAGAGTGAAGTGGTGTCAAAAATGTGTCACACAAATGTGACACATTGATTGTTTATGAAAGTGAAAACAAAGTTTACCTTTTCCGGTTGAACACCCTTCCCAATGAAAGTCATCTGACGACTCGTGTACACAGAAGTCAACTCTTTTGTAGTCCTAAACAAAAGGTCATCAATTGTAACACGAAAATGCACTCACGCTCCCTCCTCGGGCGCTCGCCAAAAACGATGCGCATCGGCGTCATTTCGAGGGATCTTTAAACGATCGCTTTTTTTATTTCAAAATAATTTTCTTTTTCTAACTGCAACAAGACCAAAAAAAAATCCCTTACATCGACGTCTTTCGGCACCTCGTCTCCCCAATATTTGAGATCCAAACCGTAGGAGAGAGTGGGAATCAACGAGGGAGCACCCTAAAAATTTTGTAATGTAAATTTTGCTCCTTCAGCTTGATTTAAGGTAGAAAAACCAGAATTTTTACAAACACTTTTTTTCCGGGTCTGGCTTTTCCCTGACTTTCATCTTTTCATCAAAAAGAACATGCAAAATGTCTTGACTTAGCCACTTTTGATTTAGCTTTTTAGAGCTGAACAATCCTGGTCACAACTAGTCCATCTCAATCAAAATCATGATATTACTGACCAAAAATACTCTAATAGAACCCCACCCCCATAATGACGGGTGTATAGTCGTGTAGTCTAACTTTGAACGTCCTGTTCGCCGTGCTGCTTTATGCTACAGTGTGCGCTTGAGTGTCAAATGATAGCCCTTGAAATCTAGTATTTTTGGCACCAAAAGTGTAGTTGGAAAAAATATAGAGGCTAAGAAAAAAAATGATTTTCTAAAACTACAAACTACGTTAAACTACGAAGTTAAACTACGCGACTTTACGAAGAAATGGCGTTCTATTAGAGTATTTACGGTATCTACATGTACTAGATCATTTCAAATACCGTATTGCCTTTAATAGAAGTTGCACTAAACTGATGAAGCCCCGCTCACTCACCTGAAAACAAATGATGCGTAATTTTTTTCAAAGTTTTTGAGTTTTCTCAGCAATGAGTAAATCAAATTAAATATAGTTTCTTTCTATAAGTGTGTCTATGGAATGTGCAAGTTATGACAAAATTTCAGAAGTTTTAGTTGAAAACCCGCAATTTGGTGCAACTTTTTGTCTCTCAGGTGAATGGATGGGGTTTCATCCGTTTAGTGCGACTTCTATTAGAGGCAATACGGTATTTGAAGTGATCTAGTAAATGTACGGTACGTAAACCCTACCCGCAATCCCGTTGATGTGCCCGGTTGATCCTCGTCATCAATTTCATTCATCAAATTTCGCCGTTTTCTTCTCTCCTCACTCCTCAGCTTCTCCAAGATCACCAAGGGCACTGATTCATCGGCGGGATTGATGAAATCTTCCACTAAAAAGAGAAACCGTGAGATCTTTGGCCAAGCACAGTATGACTTACTTTCTTTTTCGGGCACATCCTCGAAATCGCTTTCTCTATTTTCGTCATCACTCGAATTCTCATCTTTTTGTCGCGGTTCCGGCAGTTTCAGGTCACTGATTCGACTTTGTTCTGCATCAATTCTAAAAAGAATAGAAACGAATAGAAAAAGAATAGCATGTACAAACGAATTCCTCACTTCATTTTCAGCTTCAAAATCGGTGCCACTTGTTCCTGTCGAGCGCCCACCTCGGCCAAACGGCTCAGCCATCTAAAAAGAAGAATAATAAAGTCAATTGGATCTTATAAGCCAAATATCTATAAAATTCTCTATTCTATTACCATTTTACTGTTGAAAAAAATCTCACCGAAGAATTTGTTTCCTATAAAAAGCGAGCATCGCGTTTCCATCGCGAACCGCCATCGCCAGCGCCTCGTTTTCCTTTGAAACCTAGAAAAATAGTAAATGTAAAATTTGATATAGCTTTGATATAGCTAGTGAAGCTTCACTAGCTTATTTTATTCGAATTAACTTTAAAATTTAAGTTCATTGACTCACTTTCAATTGAGGTATGGCGTCTTTGAGAAAAACGGTGACCGTGTCAGTGCTCTCCAAGCCGTGAACTCGCTAAAAGAGACAAATTTTATGCAAAAAACAAGACTCAACCATTATTCTATATTCTTTATTCTATTTCTTAAATTTACCGTATCATTTGAGCTCCCCAGTTTTTCCTCAAAAATCGATTCATTTTCGCTCAATTTTGAGAAATCGGGAACGAGTAGACGAATTGCTGATGAGATCGAAAAAAAAATGTTTAGGTTACCGGTTATGGATTGATATGTGGTCTTAAAACAATTCGCTATTTATCCATATCGCTATTTATCCATAAATCCATAGCCCCAACCTCAGTGAGACATCTCGTGGCATCGTTTTGAATCGTCGAAAATCTCTCCATCACTTGGTTGGCCACCTGAAATTGATAAATAATCAAATTTGCAATTTATAATGCAATAATTCAAATTTATAGTCAAACTAATTTGCAGATTTATAGCTTTTCTACGTTTAGCTTTTCTAAAGTTTAAATGCTTTTTCTAGCAAAAAAAAGTAGCTAAACTCTTATTAATTTGCCAATAAAAGACAAGTGCCGAATATAAAATTGCTTCTACAATCGAATGATCAACTTCTGCGAATGCTTTTCTTTAACAAAAACCAATTTGAAAGGTACCTTTTCCGCTTTTTCTTCTTGTTGTTTTTTGAGTTCTTCTTCGCGTTTCCTTTCAGCCAAAAGACTCGCCGATGCTCGTTCATAATCGATTGCTTTGCACGACGCGAGAAATGAGGGAACCTGAATAAAAGAATGTATTGATGTGTACAATTTGAATATGCTTTTGGAATAGATTTGGAATAGATCATTGAATGAATCCTTCATTCGGCTGTTCTTTATCAACTAGGAGCTACTATAAAAGTGTAAACCTATATTTTAATATGTAGATAGCCTGTTAAAATATGTATATAGCCTCACATTCTGCAGCCGCTCGTATCCGTTGGCGAATTTCGTGTGCCAAACTTTGATTCGTTTAATCGCGTCAACTTTCAGCTCGTTTGCCTCATCTTTTGGCGGTGGAAGGGGCTTGTGAAGGATGTCCAACTCGCAGAAAACTATCAGAATGTCCTGAAAGTGCATAAATTCGATGTTTGCCACTAATTGCTGTCCATTGCTGAACAAATTTTCGATAATTTTTTGCTTCCAGAGAACGGTGAATGTCAACTTTTGTCCATGAAAAGTTAATGAAAAATTCAAAATGCCAACTAACATTGATTTTTCGTTTAAAACTTTCTAAGAATATTAAATTTACCTGTAACTTCTCCACGACAGTCGTCCGCCAAACGTGTGACCGTGAAAAGAAGTAGTCGATTAGCGAGAGAGCCAACTAAACAAGTAAACTTTATTTCTATCGCAGTAAATTTCTTGTAGTAGGCCCAGTTTAGCTTACACAACACAAATTGCAGCTTTTTGTTTAGGATTTTACACCAAAAACGCCCATTTACCTGCCTTGTCGGACATTCGGCTTTCCCGGCCTCTTTCAGCAAGTGTTCGACGAGAAGCGGTGATATTTCTAGAGAATAAGCTTTTTTTAATAGTTCGAAGCAAAGCAAGCGAAGTTCGAAGCATTTTCAACAATGCAGGATTAGAAATTCTAACTATTCCCTCAAAAATTCCACTCACCCGGCTCTTTTTTGACGATTTCGCGTAAATCCCGAAAATCTCGCTGCTCAAAATCGATTTGCTTTCGTCGAGCGTCATCGTTCTAAACAGAAAAGATAAGAAAAGATAATTCTTTTGACAAATGAAACATACCGTAAATGCTGTATTAGAGCGATTCCCTCAAATAGAATGGCTCTCTCTAATAGAGCTGCTTTAGAGCGACCCTCCAAGGAGGTATTCAAAAATAGAGCGGTCGCTCTAATAAAGCATTTACGGTAAAACGATTAAAATCAGCCAACGATTAAAATCAGCCAATTTTAAGTGAAAATTCATTAATTTCTTGACAAAATTGAAAGAATCCGGAAAAAAATCCAACCTTTTTGATGATGCGATTCACGAGACTCGTCACCTCTTTCCGGCGATTCTGCTCCATTTTTCATTGACACTTTTGGCAGAGTTGATGCTAAATTATGAAATGAATTAAAGTATAACTTTTGCAAAAAAAATGGCATTTAAAAAATGAACAACTTATAAATATGTTGGGACCTAGTCAAAATAGCGCTGCCAAAACAGCGCCGTTCAAAACAGCGCCATTCAAAACAACGTCATTCAAAACAGCGCCGTTCAAAACAGCGCCGTTCAAAACAGCGCCGTTCAAAACAGCGCTGCCAAAACAGCGCCGTTCAAAACAGCGCCAAATTGAAAAAGACTGCGATTTGATTTTTCAACTCCAATGTTTTTATACTTCTCATAACAACTTGTAGCTTTTGTTATTTTTAAAACATTTTTAAGCACCTTGCGCGTTTTTTGACAAACCGACGGAATATTTCATTATCAGAATCAGATTTTATGGCTCATTTTAAATAAACATTGCGGCACATAGCGTTTTTTGTTTTTCATCATTTTTTTCTTGTTTTTACGGTTCTTGGTACTTTATTTTGTGTTTTTCAAAAAGAAAGTTTCAAAAAGGACGTCGCCTGAAGGAATAGAAGGGTCGTTGCACTTGTGACGACCCTTCTATTCTTTCTATTCCAAAATTTGCCGCATTGTTTATTTAAAATGCGCTTTTGTTTATTTAAAAAGATAAAATGCCATATTGAAGTTTCGAAAATCGCTCCTTTCCTTTCTCTCTCTCTAAAATCCTTTAGATTGCGTGTACAGAGGTGTAGTTTGTAGTGAAATGTAAATCTCTTTTTATCCAAAGAAAATTCTATTTATTCACTAACAACAACAAGGAGCCAACAACACAAATCATCAATGTGAAATGGAATTTTTTTTTTTTTAAATATTTATGACAAATTTTTGAACAAAAAGACAAAAGACTTTCTAAAGACAAGATCGGGGGCTATAACTGCAAAAGAGCTTTTTTCTATGTAGAGAATCTTTGTAGAGAATTTCAAGTCAAAAAAAAACAATAATAAACCGAAAAAGAGTACGAAAAGCACTAAAAATGGGAAAATAAACTGGTGAAAGCAAGAAAATGTTGAGGATTGTTTTTTTTGTTTGAAAAAGATACACGTTTCCTGTTCAGAGTATCGATTTGAGGAAATCTTGATTGAGAAAAGACTATAAAATTTGAATATCAATTTGAACATCAATTTGAATATCAATTTGAATTTGAATATCAATATCAATCTCAATATCAATATCAATTTCAATATCAATATCAATCTCAATCTCAATATCAATATCAATATCAATCTCAATATCAATCTCAATATCAATTTCAATATCAATTTCAATTTGACACCATCAAATTGGTGAACTAATGCATCGTGTACGTGTTTTGCTCATGCAATTCGCCGACTTCTCCCCGGTGATTCACTTCGATCACCATGTCCAAATCGCGCTCATTTTTCCCGTTCGGCGCCATCGAGAAACTCCCCAAAATCTCCTCGCCTTTCTTCACGGTCATCGCGTCGAGAAAGTAGAAAACCTGAAAATTCCCTTATTATTTTAGTAAATTTCTTGCAAATACTAAAGTCTTAATATCAAATACTAAAGTCTTAACCCATTCGAAACTTCTGCAGCAAAAACTCAGGTTTTTTTAATACGGTTTTTTTTTGATCTAATACGGTTCCAATACGGTTCTTTTTTTGATCTAATACGGTTCCAATATACGGTTCTAATACGGTTCCAATACGGTTCTTTTTTTGATCTAATACGGTTCCAATATACGGTTCTAATACGGTTCCAATACGGTTCTTTTTTTGATCTAATACGGTTCCAATATACGGTCCTAATACGGTTCCAATACGGTTCTTTTTTTGATCTAATACGGTTCCAATATACGGTTCTAATACGGTTCCAATACGGTTCTTTTTTTGATCTAATACGGTTCCAATATACGGTCCTAATACGGTTCCAATACGGTTCTTTTTTTGATCTAATACGGTTCCAATACGGTTCTAATACGGTTCCAATACGGTTCCAATACTGCAGCAAAAACTCAGGAACGGACCGCTGCAGCGATTATTCGCTGCAGCGCTAATTGAGCTATTTTCATTCAATTAATTGGGTTTTTTTTTGCTGTTTTTCAGCATTACATGTATATTCCAATTGTAACAGATCTACAAATTACGTGGGCAAAAAAGACGTGTCTTATTTACCCGGAATCAATGCAGCCTCTGGTTTTGCATTGAAATTTTCCATAATAGCTCTAATCTTATAAAGCCGATCTCCTGCAGGATCCAGTTTATCATCACAAAAACGCAGGTTTCGAAGAATAAATTAAAATTTTTCTCTTGACATAATGTGGGGCATGTGGGAAAATCCCCCTAATCCAGGCCTGTTACATAGTCACGAATCCTCGGTAATTTGACGATTCTCATTTGAAGATACAGAGCCAGAAAGAGCTTGAAAGATTATGCATCGAAATCCTGCCAGTTTGTTTTCCTTTTTCCATGTTTATTAGATTCGCCTACTAACATATTGATTAATTTGTCGTCGATAAAATAAGAATAATAATCGATAGGATCTTGAAAAGTACTGAAGTCAAATCCAAATCGTTCTTCATCAAAAATAAATGATGTAGGAGACTCTCTTAAACCTTTCCAACCATCTGGATAAACTGCTTCGGAGTCAAAAAAGTCAAAAAAAAGGGCTTGGTCCGTAGACGAAAAAAAAGAAAAAACGCTGCGCTTTCGAATGGGTTAATATACAGCATCCCCAAAAACGGCAAGCACCATCCCATAAAGAGGTAGCGTGCTAGCGAAACACCGACTCTCAACTTTGGAAGGTTATATAGGAAAGTTGAAAGATTGAATCGATTAGATAATAAGCACCGTTTCAGGAGATATCCTTAAGATTTACCCCCAGAAAAATCAAAACGATTGACTCAATTTTGGGCAATCTAGGCCCTCTAAAGTGCGGCACTATTGTCGGCCAACCGGCCACTAATTGTCGGCCAACCTGTTTTAGACTTTAAAGATCAAGGGGTGCTAGCAAAAGTGCGAAATGATTTTAAACTTTTTCCCAAATTTAAACCAACTGTTTGCTTCCAATGCGTGTATTTTGCGTCAGGTCCTGTTGAGAAGCCGGTTCTCTTGTGACACTTCGAGAAGTCAATCGTGAAGAAAGTGACAAGAGCCTGAATAGATTGATTTTGAAAAGATATACGGATTTTCAATATCAATACCTGTACATAATCATCCCTGGCGACACGCAACGCGAAATCGGTTTTCCACGAGAGATCCTCGATTTTCACCGTGTAGAGATCGATCTAGAATTTACTTGAATTACTAGAAGCTAGCTACAGCTACAGCTATAGCTTTAAGCTACAGCTACAGCTACAGCTTTAAGCTACAGCTACAGCTATAGCTTTAAGCTACAGCTACAGCTACAGCTTTAAGCTACAGCTACATCTTTAAGCTACAGCTACAGCTTTAAGCTACAGCTACAGCTTTAACCTACAGCTACAGCTTTAACCTACAGCTACAGCTTTAACCTACAGCTACAGCTTTAACCTACAGCTACAGCTACAGCTTTAGCTAGCTACATCTTTAGCTAACTCAAATCTACCGCTACAGTCCTTTGTACAAGTATCAATCTACCTCTTTTAAGCAATAATTGTTTGTGACGACTTGTGCATGGTCAACACAATCGACGAGTGGCTCACGAATAGCTATTTTGCGAATGGCTGACATGTTGAAGCCGTAAACGCTATCCCACCTAAAATTTGCATTAAATAATAAGCTAGAAAGAGGATTTTTACAAGCTCAGAGCACAAAGTACAGAAAAAAATATGGACATGATGAGGAACAAAAAGTAATTACAACATTACAACAAAAAGTAACCAAACCTGCAACTAAACCAACACTCACCAATAAATCTTATCATCTTTGTACTGTCGATCCTCAATCGCGCAAATGAAAAGCTTTGCCCGATCAGGAAAGATCATTCCATCTTTTGCCAACCATTGATCCCTTGCTTTCAGCACCGTATTCAACATCGATTCATAGAAGAGACAATAGCCCATCCATTCCGAGATGATTATATCAACCTGGTTGAACAATTTTGAACCTGGTTGAACAATTTACAGGTTTAGATAAAGATCTCAAGTCAGGCAGCCTAGCTTTGGCTTGGTTAGCCTAACTATTCCAGCCTAACCTCAAGCTTTGTACAGAACAGCCAACTCCGCATAACGGGTCTAAAATCGATTTTTAAAATCTAAAGCCTAATTCTTTCCTTGGCTAGATAGAGAATAGATATAAACTTGGAAGTAATAGCCTAGAAACGTGTTCACCTTGTTAACTTTTTTTTGAGTAGACAGATTTTAATGAAACTTTGGCTTTTTCTTAGTTGGATATCATGTAAAAATTGGTATTGATTCGATTTAAAAAAAATCGATCTTGAAGTTACTCGTGACTGTTACTAGTTACTCGTGAAACCTTGTGCTCTATTCCTTTTTGCGTTCGTTTGACGTTGACAATCTACGATCTTGCAATCAATTTTGCTTGTAACTTTGTTTTTAAAACGTTGAATTTGCTTTTATCCGATAGAAAATTTGATTTCAATTCGAATGAAAGTAAATTCAACGTTTTTCAAACAAATCCAGTTAAGAAACGAGCAAAATTCGTAGATTGCAAACGGCAAACGGATCGAAAAAGGGTACAGCTGGGTACAGTAGTATAAAGTAGTCGAAAACCTTTTCGATTCCGTCGGGCAACTCGGTGATGTCCTCCAATTTTGATTGAATCACCTCCACGATGTGATCCAATCCGTTATCGCTGATGATTTGCCGTGACTGGATGGCCATCGCTGAGAACTCGACCTAAAATTAAAATCGAATAGAAGATTAGGTACATTAGTAATTAGTACATTAGTCAATGGCCAAATTTCCCCACTCACCGCTATCACTTTCTTCGCGCCAGCTCTTGCAGCAAACATCGACAGAATTCCGGTTCCAGATCCGACGTCCATCACAATTTTGTCTTTAAACAAATGCTTATTGTGATAGATTGAGTTGCGGTAGGTGACTGTGCGAACCTCGTCTTTCAACATTTCCTGAAAAGATTTCAATTGAGATGATTGGAGAGGAAATTTCGCAATCTTGAGAGCTTGTCATGAATAGAGTGTGTTCCTCTCGGGAGTGGGAGAAATGCGCACCTTTTTTTGCGCACCCGGACATTTGCGCACCTTTTTTTCCGCACTTAGCCCATTAGCGCACCTTTTTTCGCGTTTTAAAAAGCTCTAAAAGCTAATATTAATCAATTTCTATTCTCAAAAAGAAATTAACAAGGTGAACACGTTTCTAGGCTATTTCTTCCAAGTTTACATCTATTCCCTATCTAGCCAAGGAAAGAATTGAAACAATTCATGTAAAATTGCGACAAAAATTGAAAAACATAAATAAATGCCTCAAATCGACTAGAAAATGCTCGCAATGGCTTACTTTCAGAAAAATTGTTGTCGATTAGTTTGTTACTATATATTGTTTTTGTTCTTGTTCTTGTTCTTGTTCTTTTTCTTGTTATTTATCATGATTCTAATAGGTTGATGCATAAGTCTTTTCGTTTTTTTCGTACTTCTGTTAACAAGTAACAAATTCACCAATTAATCTATAGTTTGCTCTATAAAAAAAGTGTTTTTTTGTTCAATTTGCATCTTTTTAAATGAATTTCGGTTCACTTTCAAGCAAATTCGAGAGTGAAAAACGCCTTTTTCGTAAAAATCTATAAAAAACTCTACGGAAAATTTGGCTGAATGAATTTCTCTGAAATTTTGGCGAAATATCAAACTTTTTTTTCTCTATCTTTTATCTATTGACACGAAGATAGGTTTTTTTTAGCTAAGGTGTCTAAACCGCATCATCGAGTTAGCTCTTTTTGACTACCCGACTTGATACTCTCAAGAAAATCCAGGCATTTCTTTAGCTAAGGTGTCTAAACCGCATCATCGAGTTAGCCCTTTTTGACTACCCGACTTGATACTCTCAAGAAAATCCAGGCATTAAATATTTTTAAACCCGTTTTAATGTTATTTTGCAGAAAAATAATTGGTTTTTCTAATGAAATCAACCGTAGTTTAATTCGTGCATTTGTTGGCTTGAAACGGCAGACGAAAAGGAACAAAAAGACTTATGCATCAACCTAATAGTTATGTTTAAGTTAAAATTTAAAGTAAAATGTTTCTTTTAGATCGTCGGCTCTTTTATCACGGGAAATTCAAGTCAAAACGTTACGGTTTTTGGAAGAAATAGCCTGGAAACGGGGAGTGGGACAAATGCGAGCTTTTTTTGCTCACCCGGACATTTGCGCACCTTTTTTTCCGCACCTTGCCCATTAGCGCACCTTTTTTCGCGTTTTAAAAAACCTCTAAAAGCTAATATTAACCAATTTCTATTCCAAAAGTTGCTTTTCTAGGTAATTTGATGGTGTCGAATTCAAATGTTGATATAACAGAGCGTGTGGAACCAATTTGAAAGACAAAACGGGCTAGATCAAATTACAGAAAATTGTTGATTTTTCTCTTTGTATAACTCCGTCCGTTTGTTTCCACAAGCTCTAATATGTCAAAATTTCGATTCTACGCCCTAAAATTACCTAGAAAAACAACTTTTGGAATAGAAATTGATTAATATTAGCTTTTAGAGCTTTTTAAAACGCGAAAAAAGGTGCGCTAATGGGCAAGGTGCGGAAAAAAAGGTGCGCAAATGTCCGGGTGAGCAAAAAAAGCTCGCATTTGTCCCACTCCCTTCCTCTCAAATCAAATCGTTCATCATGTTTTCTAAACGGTGCTCGTTAGCAAAGTCATTTTCTAAAAAGCGCCCTTTTCTAAACACTCTTTTTGTGCTTTTCTTTTATTATTTCTGAAAGTTTTACTTTACCTCTTTTTTTCTATTCTTATCGGAATTTTATAGTTTTAAACAAATATTTATCTTTAGAAACAACAAATAAGGGAAGAAGAGATCAACCAAAGGAGAAAAAAGACCAACAACGTGCCAGGGCAGTTTTTCTCTGTATATTTTCGATATTTTAAAAATCTTTAGAGGTTGATTGGTTTTCTTTAGTGAAAGAACGTAAGAAAGAAGATGAAAAGAAAGAAGACGAAAAGAGAGAAGATGAAAAGAAAGAAGATGAAAAGAAAGAAGATGAAAAGAAAGAAGATGAAAAGAAAAAGATGAAAAGAAAGAAGATGAAAAGAAAGAAGACGAAAGAAAAGAAACTTCAGGATAAAGGGCAACAAAGAAAGAGGTCAGCATTTTTTTAAATTTCATAGAGCTTAATTCATCTTCCATTTTTGTTAATGATTAATGACTAAGATTAATGTTAAATCCTGTTTGCAAAAGAAGCAATAGTTACACTTCATTTTGACTTTGGAAAATGAAAATAACTTTCTACTTATGAACTGCGAGATCACACTACACTTTAGTTTTGTAGTTTGTAGTTTAACACTTTTTATAAAACATGATTTGAGGGGAGCACACGAATCAGATCCAAATCATGATCAAATCATGAATCACGAATCATGAATCATATCTATTTTATATATTGTATCATTTATGTAATTTCCTTTATCTCCTTGTAAACGTCTATCTTTCTAACAATCTTTTTAAGAACTAAACTGAAAGAGAGAAAGAGAGAGAGAGAGAAAGAAGAGACGTGTCTTACCCAACCCTAACTCCGTTACTTTCAACTTGGAGTTCCCCTTTCCCCTAACAATTCTCTTAACTCTCTCTTATCGTCGATTACATATCCGTACATAAGTCTTATGACTTCTACAATGAAACTACAAATCAGATAGATTGTTTTAAAAAGGACTTTTTACTTAGGTAAAGCTGTTAAGTTGTTGTGAGTTGTGAAGGGTAGATCAGGTTTAAAGATTAGCTTTAATTTAAACATCTTAAACTCTTAAACATCACAATCACAACATCTTAAACATCTTAAACTTTTGTTAGCTACACCAGGGATCTCAGAAGTTGAAAATGAATCAAGCTAATCGAGCTTGTGCTTTAAGAATTATCTGAGCTTCAAGAATTGGAGATTTAAGATGTTGTGATTGTGATGTTTAAGAGTTTAAGATGTTTCAATTAAAGCTAATCTTGAAACCTGATCTTCCCTTCACAACTCACAACAACTTAACACCTTTACCTTAGTAAAAAGTCCTTTTTAAAACAATCTATCTGATTTGTAGTTTCATTGTAGAAGTGATAAGATTATCTAAGCTCCAAGTATTATCTAAGCTTTATCTTATCAACTAAATTTATATAAGATCCATTTATCTATAGATTATTTATAGATATTTGTCAAGATCTTATATGTTTTGTTCTTGAAATCAGAAATGTTGCCAATAAAGCCCTGTAAGCCGTTTGACTAGTCCAGAGTCAGGATCGAAGTCAGATCAAGATTCAGTGACTTTTCATGGACCAAGGATTGCCGGCTTTATGCCTAGCTTGTCCGAAAGAGCGCTTTTATGCTTTAAATCCTCTACACTCACCTCATGAATCCCAAAATGAGCATATGAATCGAAATAGTAATCCTTTGACGTCATCTCCTCTGGTTTTGCCGCTTTTGCTTCTCCGTTTTCGGTCATTTTCACGAAAAGTTTCTAAGTTTCTATTAAATCGAAAAGTTTCTATTAAAATAAATTAGATTTAAAAAAATAAATAAAGTTTAAAAAATAAATAAAGTTTTTTCAAAGCCTAGACAAAAAATGATAAAAAGGAAGGATTTGAATGAGCGCTTACGTGCGGAATTTATTAGCTGGGGAAATTATTGGCTACCGTAATCTGGATCGGTTTAAGACCTAAAAATAAGCACCGCCTCTAGGCTACATCATTCAAAGATTGCCTTCATTCAACTTCTATCTAGTAAATAGATTTAAAGTTTATAAGTGAAATAGAAATTTTGTAGTGAAATCTTGTAGATTTAAGCTGTCGTTTGTCTAATGTTAATGAAAATCATGTTTTCTAGCTTCTAGCTTCTAGCTTCTAGCTTCCAGCTTTCAGCTTTCAGCTTCCAACTTCCAACTTTCAGCTTTTCCGATGTCAACGTGATGGTGATGGAGTTGGAGTTAAGCAACATGGATGAGGTGATCATTCCACCGATTGATTCCAAAAGCGATTTGCAGCAAGAAGAGAAAGTGGGGTTTTTTGAGCTATCTATGATGACTGATTTGAGCTATCTATGATGACTGATTTGAGCTATCTATGAATGCCTCTTGCTATTCTTGTAAGACTCTTCTGTGACATCCAGATTTCATTAAAAACCAATTTTCAGGAACCCTGGCCTGTGCAGGTGGACCCAGAAGAAGTGGAAGCCTCACCGTCATCCACCGATTCGATTCACATCGAAATGCCTGATATCACACCGGGAACAATGTTCACCACAACACTCGTCAAAACCGAACACGGTTAGATTTTGGCTTCATCTAAATCTCTAAATCTTTTTTCAATTTCAGGTCTTGGCTTCAACATTATTGGCGGAACAGATAGCCAGCATTTACCTGGAAACAACTGTATTTTTATTTCAATGATCAAACCGGATGGAGCCGCGGCGAAGGATTTGAGGATCAGGGAAGGAGATCGAATTGTATCGGTGGGGTTTTTGAGAAAGAAAGTAAGTAGGGAAAGGCACCAGGTTAAGGTGACTTTTTTTATGCTCATCCAGTGTATTTGATAGAGTTTTGAATGGGGATTCCGAATAAGCTTTTAGTTTTTCCAATGGAGCTCTGTATCGCAAGATATCTCGCATCAAAGTTGAAAAGTTGAAGTGCGCCGATCGAACTGGGATTCTTTTGGTTGTATGCTAACGACTTACCTCTACACTACAGCTGCTCTCATCTGCTGTGGGAAATTCGGCTGAAAAACTGTTGGGTTTCGTGTCTTAAACTTTGATGCGAGATATCTTGCGATACAGAGCTCCATTGGAAAAACTAAAAGCAGATTCGAAATCCCCATTCAAAACTCTATCAAATACAAATTATCAATTATCAAATTGATGAGCTTCAAATGTACTGCGCCTCAAAAAAGCCACCTTGACTTGGTGGCTTTCAGTAAGAGTTGGGTGCGTTCTTTAGGGCTTTAATCGTATCCGAAAGGTTGCTTATAAGCCAACCAGCGCTTGCTTTGCAATCCAAACAATAATATTGACAAAAAACAATGTTTTTGAGCTTCTCCGAAGTTCTTTTAAAAAAAAATGAGTCGAGGATGACGTTTGTTGACAGAAATCAAGAGTTTTATAGAATTTATCGTTAAACTCTATTTGACACAAGAAATTGAAAGAATGCAAGAAAAATGAAAGAAAGAATAAAAGAAAGAATGCAAGGAAGTAGAGAAGGGCCAAGAGAAGACCCCGAAAAAATGAAATTTTCGCAAAGTTGAAGAAAAATCAAACGGAATCAAGTGGAAAATAGAAATAAGCACAAAATAGAATTTAGCCTTTGGCAGCCAAATGAAAAGAGCCAAGTTTTATGGGGGTTCATTTAATTTAAGGTTTTGAGAAAGAAAGTTTTGTTTAGATGAATGGCATCGAATTGGACGAGCTGAGACACGACGAGGTGGTCACCGAATTCCAAAAGATTTCCGTTGGTGGAGAGGCTCGGCTATTGATCGAAGCACAAGCCGACTTGAAACTCGTTTCGGTGAGGCTGGGAAATAAGATGACATAGGTTTCAGAAAGACGGGCAACGATTTTACCGGACAGACCAAGGCAGACAAAGCCAGGTCCAAGCCAGACGGTTCTGGCCTGGTCTGACCTGGTCTGACGTGGTCCGGTCTGGCCTGCTTTGGCCTGGTCTGGTCTGGCTTGGCCTGGTTTGACCTGACCTGGCCTCACTTGGCCTGGTCTTTTCTGGTCTGGTCTAACCTGGTCTAGCTCTGGCTCTGGTCTGACCTGGTCTAGCTCTGGCTCTGGTCTGACCTGGTCTAACCTGGTCTAGCTCTGGCTCTGGTCTGGCCTGATCTGGTCTGATCTGGTCTTGCCTGACCTCGCTCGGTCACACATCTCTGAGTTCTTTTTGTCAGGGGGAAAATTTGACAAAAATCATTATGATACTAAACGATATAGACAATTCTGTTAATTTTCAAATCTTTTCAGGAAGCTCACCTCCGACCGCAAACTTTATCGGATGAGACGCCCGGCGGTGACTCCCAACCATCAACAAGTCAACAAGGGCTACTTGCAAATATCGGTAACTTTTAACATCATAACTATATCTTTTTGATCCTTTGAATTTCATCTCATCAAAATTTCCATTAAAAAAGATCGATTTCAGACGAGAAACGCCGAAAAATTGACGTGATATCGATTTTGTCGAGAAATCAAAACAATCTCTCGCCCGATGATGTCCCGAAAACGCCTAGGAAACCGTTCAGTGTGATCGATCCGAGAAAGTTTGTCTTTTTTTGGATAAAAATGGGAAACAATAAACTAGATATGTTACTTAGAGTGGGTCAGATCAATCAGGTCAGATCTTCTGACCTTGCCAAGAGTTCTGATTTGACTCTACTACAGCTCTTACCCGTAAAAAGCCATTGGGCCTTGCTTTTGGTCGATCTGTCTTACTGACCTGTAAAAAGATTTAACAGACTGACTGAACGACTGGTCTAGTCTAGTTTCCGGTTGAAACAACCCTGAACAACTGATCTAAAATCAGATTTTCTTAAAATTAAACATGTGATTAACCTTTTTCAATGAAATTTTTACATGCTATCCAACTAAGAAAAAGCCAAAGTTTCATTAAAATTTGTCTACTCAAAAAGAATTTAATAAGGTGAACACGTTTCCAGGCTTCCATTTTCCAGGGTCCAGCTTCAAGAGCTTTTCCAGGGCCCAGCTTCAAGAGCTTTTCCAGGGCCCAGCTTCTAGAGGTTTTCCAGGGCCCAGCTTCTAGAGGTTTTCCAGGGCCTTGGTCCTGGTCCTAGCTTGCCATATGTCATTGATAAACATTCACACATGCTAATCCCTAACTTTCAATCAAAAAAGACTATCAAAAAAATTTATAATATATCAAACTTTGAGTAATTCCCTCTTCACCGAGTTGCTCTATGTCTCAATCGGTTTGGGTGTGATCGCCGTTGGATCGTTCGCCTTTTATCGATGGTGGAATCGGGGAAAATAAAGCGAAATATAAATAAAACCCTAATTTTCACATTCTTATCTTAAATTTCGATTTTTTTAATGCTCTATAGGATGTTCAAAACATTTCTTGTTTGCGATTTTTAAAATTTTTTTCTTTAAGAGAATTTGGCAGATTTTGAAGAAAGTTAGTGCACTTTTTGGGAGTGGGACAAATGCGACCTTTTTTTCGCGCACCCGGACATTTGCGCACCTTTTTTTCCGCACTTAGCCCATTAGCGCACCTTTTTTCGCGTTTTAAAAAAGCTCTAAAAGCTAATATTAACCAATTTCTATTCCAAAAGTTGTTTTTCTAGGTAATTTTAGGGCGTAGAATCGAAATTTTGGCATAACAGAGCGTGTGGAATCAATTTGTGGAAGACAAAACGGCTAGATCAAATTACAGAAAATTGTCGATTTTTCTCTTTGTATAACTCCGTCTGTCTCTGTTTATCCGTCCGTTTGTTTCCAAGCATTTGTCCCACTCCCTTTTTTCACAATCAATTCACAGCCAGGGTTAGGTTTTTTTTGGAATTTTTAAGCTGTTTATTAGCTATTTCAAGCTGTTTTTTCATAGTTTTTTGGAATTTTTAAGCTATTTTTTCATATTTTTGTTTAAAAAAACCGAAAAACCAAAAATCTAGTCGATTTTCTCTTTTTTTTCCATTAAAAGGTGCTAATTTTTGTATTTTGTTCTTTTCTTTTATTTTGTTTATTATTTTTTCAAGCTTCACTTGTAGATAGCTTTGTTTTTTTTGGATTAGGATCATAAATGATTCAAAATAAAAAAACTACTTTATTTTTTGTCATAAAACAAAGCTTTCTCTTTCTGGTATAGTCAAATTTTGAATTTTTTTTTAGTTTTTTTAAAATTCTTTAAAATAAGACATCAAAAGGATCAAAGAAAGGTTTTTACCTTTCAAATCTTTTCAAATTTTCAATTTCAATTCAAATTTCAATTCGGATCTTTCCGGTTAACGGCACGAGGGGCACATCGGCGCGAAATAACCCAAAAAAACGTTCTCTATCAGAATTTCACGTTAGACTATCCATTTGTGGCAGAAAATTGGTGCTAAATTGAATGGTGAAAAAATTATCCAATTAAAACTAACCCTAAGTCGATCCGATCACTGAGAGTCGAGTTATAGAGTAAATTAGAAAAGTTCCCAAACTCTGAGACTCGTAACGGAATTTGAAAGCTCAACTTTGACACAAATTTTCTCTATGTTCTTATACAAAACAAATTCTACTTTTCTTTAGTCAAATTTAATGAGGATTCTTTTATTTTATTCGTCTGACTCGATTTTTTTAAACCCGCGTTTTATCGAAAAAAATCGCCCTTTTACAATCAAGTCGCTCGCCGCGATCAACTTTCGGCGGTTCGTTTTAAGCGTGGTCGAAAGATTGCGCCCTCGAAACCGATAACTTTTGTGTGCACGTGTACAAAGATCATTTTGATATCAAAAAAATAAAAGTTGATCAACTCTACGAAGACTTGATGCCTTTTTAAGTTGAAAATGTCGTTTTGCGACTTTCTGCCCGCTAAAACGTAGACAATCGCCAACAACCGATTTAAAGCAGTCAGACAGCCAACATATTTAAAGTAGCCAGACAGCCAACCGCTTTAAAACAATCAGACAGCCAACCGCTTTAAAGCAGCCATAGGGCCAACCGATTTAAAGCAGTCAGACAGCCAACATATTTAAAGTAGCCAGACAGCCAACCGCTTTAAAACAATCAGACATTTACATTACTCTATTTGAATTTTTCCTTTTTCCCAGAGACTTTGAACTTATATTTAACTTATCTCTATTTAAATTATTGATAATAAAACACTTAGTAAACTTTTTAATAGGTAGATTCAGGATATTTCTTGTCCACAAAGAGACGGTTAACCAACAACTATCAGCAGTCAGCACTCTAACGTGAGACTCTACTAGAGAACGTTTTGCCTTATTTCACGCGGATTTGGGGAGGAGAGGGGTAAATTTTTTGACCTCTTTCAGCTCATTTTTAAGCACCTTAAACTTGTCAGATCAGAAAATTTTAATAACATTTAGAAAGCTTAGAACGTAAGCTTTCAGAAAATCTTTTTTCTATTAAAAGTTATTAACAAAAACCTATTTAAAATCGGGCTTTCGCAAAGTTGGCGAAAAAACGAAAAAACGAAAAAAAGTTACCGGAAAGATCTTTCGATTCAAATGAATCTTCAAAAAATCTTCAAAAAATTTCTAAAAAATCTCTTAAGAAATTATGCTTTAAAATCGCATCCTTATCACATAAAGAAATCTCAAAATTTTCCACAAAAAAAGGCAAGTGAGTAAGGCAAAAAGGATTGTACAAAATGGATATTATGTGAGCAAAAAAAAAAAAAGTGATCAATGAAAGAGATCGAGATGGGAAAAAAGTAAAAAAAATCAAAAACTCACAAAAATTCCTCCAATTTTTCTACGATTTTGGCGGGAATTTCTCTAAAAACTCGAGAATCTTCGGCTCCAACTCATCGAAATGGGAATAGTTGAAGACACGCCACGAATCCGACTTGCAACCGTTGATCATCGCCGAGATTCCTGCAAAAGAATGGGAAATTATAGGAATTAGGCAGATTTGAATCATGATTTATTGTCATTTATTGTCATTTACCGATTTCTACGCTTTCTAAAACGTCTAATTAAGCTTTAGAAAGAAAGAATTACGGTAGCTTTTTAGAAAACAATTTTTCTCGTTGAGATCTCTCACTACAGAACAGTCATTAAAATAGAGTAGTGCAAAAGCCACTCCGCCATCTCCAGCGGGTGGGGCGAAGTAAGGTTTTTTTTGCAGAAACCTACATCTCAATTAGTTAAGCAACTTACATTATTAAGACAAAGTTTAAAAATTTATTATATTTATTTATTTATCTATATTAAATGTGGGGTCAGACATAAAATTGAAAAAATTAGCCGGGTGGGGGAAGATGCTTGGGGCGGGTGGGCTGAGGGGCCGGTGGGGGAGGGCTGAGGGGCCGGTGGGGGAGGGTTGAGGGGCCGGTGGGGGAGGGCTGAGGGGCCGGTGGGGGAGGGTTGAGGGGCCGGTGGGGGAGGGCTGAGGGGCCGGTGGGGGAGGGCTGAGGGGCCGGTGGGGGAGGGCTGAGGGGCCGTTGGGGGAGGGCTGAGGGGCCGGTGGGGTTTGGCCTTTTTTGGGAGGAATTACGCCCTCCCGTTGTGATATTCTTGATCAGCACACAAAGTACCTAGAAAACAAGGTTTCAAGCTTTTGCAATCTGACCTAGAGTAATACCAAAAGTTAACCCAGTTCAAAAATGTGGGGCTGGCGGCGGGCGGGGGAAGATGCTGGGCGTCTCTGCCAGGATCTGGGACAATTCTGACCCAGGCAATTCTGGCCCAGCCAATTCTGACCCAGTCAATTCTGGCCCAGGCAATCCTGGCCCAGGCAATTCTGGCCCAGCCAATTCTGACCCAGTCAATTCTAGCCCAGCCAATTCTTGCCCAGCCAATTCTGACCCAGATAATTCAAGACCCTTACAATCCTCACTAGAGTGTATTCCTCGCAAGTAATGCCTTTTTTTAAAACGAACGCTTAGGAAAAATTACCGTACTTTTAGGGAAGATGATGGCAAAAAAATCGGCACAAAACACAAATCACGAGCGCCGCCTTATATACGACTCCTTTTAAAGATATTCAACCTTTCAATTGATTTGGTGGCAAATTCCCTTTAAATGTAAAGATATTCAATTTTTTGTCGACGTGTAAAGAGGATTATTCGTAGTTGGTCCAAAAACGTCGGTTCATCGAGTTTTACTGGAGTTTACTCGTTACTAGTCGCGAGGAACACACTCTAATCCTCACAAATCTAGCAAATCCTTCATTCTCAGCCATGTAAACAATACTTTTTGTATACAGTATGAAAGTTTTTGCTAGAAAGTCGAAGCCTCAAGAATTGCACGCACCCGTCACCCCATTAGACGTCTTCTGTGGTCGATAAAGGGCCAATGTCGGCAATCCGAGTTTCCACGCGACGCCCAACTCGAAACCGACTCCAACCGACGGCTGAGTGCACTCGGCGATCACAACTAATCAAAAGTAAAAAAGAGCTAGCATTTCTTTGCCCCCACCATGCGCTTGATGTAGCCACTCCATGTCGACATCGTGAATCACTTTGTCTTTCTCGTCTGAATCGACGCCAGCTGGGAATTCTGAAAAAGTGATTGACTCACTTTGAAATCTACAAATTTTGATTTTGAATCTTTCTAGCTTTCTAGAAACTGATGCTAGAAATTTAAAAATAAAAATTTTGGCATTTTTAAAAATAACTTTTTAAATCCGCCCATTTCAGCATTTCAGCAGAAATAGAGCATTTAACTTTAAGCTCAAATTTCTTGGTTTTGACTTGTCTAATGCAAATAGTTTTCCTACCAATCGATAGAGAAAGACTAGGCGAATCTAATAATAGTAAAAACATTGAAATTGGACAGCTCAACAAAAAGATAATCGAGTTCAAAGTTAGCCAATGGGAAAGGGGGCGGGGCGCGTATAAAAGGTCCGTCGTCCCGCCCCCTTTTGCCATTGGGAATCTAAAGAGAAACTGATGCTAAAAATTTAAAATTCTTATGGCATTTTTAAAAAGTGAAATAGATCCGCCCATTTCAGCATTTCAGCAGAAATAAAGCATTTAACTTTCAGCTCAAATTTCTTGGTGTTGGCTTGTCTAATATAAATAGTTTTTCTACCAATCGATAGAGAAAGACTAGGCGAATCTAATAATAGTAAAAACATTGAGATTAGACAGCTCAACGCCGAGAAATTTGAGCTCAAAGTTAGCCAATGGGAAAGGGGACCGGGGCGCGTATAAAAGGTCCGTCGCCCCGCCCCCTTTTGCCATTGGGATTCTAAATAGGTCTAAATAGATCTAAAGAGAAACTGATGCGTAATAGAAAGTGATAGAAAGTGTAATAGATCCGCCGATTCTCAAAGCATTTAAACTCCTAGAAGCTTTTCTTTTCAAACGAACTAGCCAAATGTGGGGTCATCAAATCGTCCAAACCGATGTGTTCCGTCAAAACTTGGCCATGCTTTGAGAGCATCGCTGAAAATTGAGCAATTGATAGACAATTGAGGGAAATATCCATTCTCATAGTCAATTGCAATGGCAAAAGGGGCCGGCGACGACCTTTTATACGCGCCCCGCCTCTTTTGCCATTGGCTAACTTTAAGCTCAAATTTCTTGGCTTTGGCTTGTCCAATTTAAATAGTTTTTATCCCAATCGATAGAGAAAGACTAGGCAAATCTAATAAAACAAAGAAGTTTGAAATTGAACAGCGTATAAAAGGTCCGTCGCCCCGCCCCCTTTTGACATTGGCAATTTAACTTTGAGCTTAAATATCTTTGTGTTGGGCTGTTCAATTGGAACAGTTTTTATATCAATCGATAGAGAAAGACTTGGCGAATCTAATGGTAGTAAAAACATTGAAATTGGACAGCTCAACAAAAGATAATCGAGTTCAAAGTTAGCCAATGGGAAAGGGGGCCGGGGCGCGTATAAAAGGTCCGTCGCCCCGCCCCCTTTTGCCTAAACTAAATAGATTAGAGAATGGATGAACTGGACTCTGCTTAACACTCACCGATGATTCGCCGATAGAATTCAGCGTCTTGTCGCCCGGCTCGAATACTCCCGCAAAAGTAGATCTTCGTCTTCTCCGTTGTCATCGTTCTGAAAACGAGTTTGTTTTTGACAATAAAGCCATTAAGCTAATAAATCCTAGATTTAAGGCCAGCAAAGAAGCAAAGAATTGGTGATTATCAAGCAAAATCTTAGATTCTAAGCCAAAAAATCCCCAAATTCTTAGCCGTCCGCAAAAAGTGACGTCACTGAGAGGCGGAGAGGCAAAACAACAATTTGTTTACCCCCCGGAATTCCCTTGTTTTTCTCATTTCTTTCATTGGCAACAAATGACCAACAAGCTACAAAAAAATTGAACATTTTCAAGTCCCAAAACGCGTCCCTCAGCCCGTTACAGTACTCTTGAAAGTGGGCGTGACCTACCCCGCTTGCGCCCCTATATAACGATGATGCAATTCTCTTTTTCTCTTTAGGATCGTATCCAAACCCTTCCCTTGTATTGAAATATTATTAGTTCTTGACTGCTGTCCACCAGTTCGTCATGAACTAATAGTTGTTTCTCTACGAGAGAGCGCTCACAAAGCCAACAAATCCAAAAGTGAGTTGTTTTATCGATTTTTGATTTTGATCAATTTGATTTTGATCTCATATCCCTGCAAACTGGAGCGCACATTAGTGATTTTGATTTTGATTTTGGTCTTTGGAAGCGTTTTTTAGTCAATGAATTCTTATGAGCTCTTAGCTCTTAGCCTTGTGAGAGCCTAAGCCTAAGCCTAAGCCTAAGCCTAAGCCTAAGCCTAAGCCTTGTGCTCTAAGCCTTGTGCTCTTAGCCTTGTGCTCTTAGCATTGTGATCTAAGCCTTGTGATCTAAGCCTTTTACTCTCAGCTTTGTGATCTAAGCCTTGTGATCTAAGCCTTGTGATCTAAGCCTTGTGCTCTTAGCCTCATGCTCTCAGCCTTGTACTCTTAGCCTTGTACTCTTAGTCTTGTACTCTAAGCCTTGTACTCTTAGCCTTGTACTCTTAGCCTTCTCCTCTTAGCCTTGTGCTCAGCCTTGTGCTCAGCCTTGTGCTCAGCCTTGTACTCTCAGCGACCAAATTAAGCTACAATGTGCTCCAGCTTGCGCAAATCATTTCCAAATTTTCCAAATTTCATCCTAAATTGAAAAACAATCATTCTCTAAGCAACCATTGGTTCAATCATCGAATTTTCTTTTTCAGAGGATGATTTCCTTCAATGTTCCCCACTTGGCATCAAGCCACAACAAAAAGAGTCGACAAATCAACAAAAATGATGCTTGGCATGTCGATGATCAACACTACAATGTCCGAAATGGACATAGAAATGCGGAAGACGAGCACCGGCAAGGTTTTACCCAATCAATCAATGGGTACACGACCGACCCGGTGCCTCGTTTATGAGAAATCAGCCGCGGGCACACACATTGCATATGAGGCGGCCGACTACGCACGCCTGAGGACACAGTGAGTTTTTCGATGCTAAACGATATTTACATTATATTAAAACAGTTGGCTTAGTCTTTACGACAAAGCTTTTAGTATGCGAGAAAGGGTTTGTTTTAAGGCACAAAGTACACTTCAAAGAAAACAGTGATCAACGTGAATCTAGTCCAGCTTTCAGCAACAATTTGTACCAACAATTTGTCAGCAGCGGTAACTCCGATCCGTTTCAGCAGTAACTCCGATCCGTTCATTGGTATCCCACCGGTTGACGGTGAATGGACACAAAATGGGATCCTCGCAACGAATCAAATGATGACAATCGAGAATGATCCGTTCGGCGATCTGGATGAGGAGTTGCCCTGGCTAGAGACTTTTACTGATCTCAATCAATATGAGGTGAGCTTAAAGCTAGTAGAGGACTTGGCTTAGGCTTGGCTTGGCTTAGGCTTGGCTTAGGCTTGGCTTAAGCTAGACTTAGGCTTGGCTTGGCTTAGGCTTGACTTAAGCTTGGCTTAGACTTGGCTTAGGCTTGGCTTGGCTTAGGCTTGACTTAAGCTTGGCTTAGACTTGGCTTAGGCTTGGCTTAGGTTAGGCTTGACTTAGACACAATATTTCATCGTTTTCCATTTCAGGACCACTTTCAATATTTGCCAACATCACCACTCGAGGAGGAGCTCACGAAGAAAGCAGCTGAGGTCGACTGGGAAGAATGGGATCGCTTCTTGCGCGAGAATCATCCAGTTGAATATCATTTTGGTGAGTAAAGGGAAATACAATACTCACAATTATTATAATTTTCTGCACTATGTCAGATCTAATTGTCTATATCTAATTGTCTAATTTGTTTTTAGGCTCCGGTCCATCATCTCCTCTTCCAAGTACTTTCTGCGAAGAATACATCCCAAATTTCGAGGTGATCGAATCAGGGAAACGATTCGAGGAACAAGAGATTCAGGTAAACATTGCCAAAGCCAAAGCCAACTCAATCCAATACCAATGCCAAAGTTTATTGGAGTTTTTCAGCCTCCATCCCAATCAAGAATCCCGATTGAGGCTTTTCCTGAAGATTTCGAGATAATCGAAGAGTTTTTCGAGATCGAGAAAGAGGAAAAGGAGGAACCGGCTAGGAAACCGAAAAGAGGAAGACCAAGATTGCCGAAACCGCAAAGGACACACAAAGCGAAGAGGTTCAACCCATACAGTGATGAGGAGGAGGATGGGGTGAGTGATTTGCAAATGTTAATAGAATTTCAACTCTAAAACATCTTACGGTACCATCTAATATCAATCATTTCCAGGACGAGACCAACCCGTCCGATGTGCGCCGAAAGGCGCTCAACCGCGACGCCGCTTTCCGCTATCGGGAGCGTAAGAAGGCGCAGAAAGAGGCCGCTTCTTCCGAGGCACAGGTATTAAATTTTGTAAAACACCAAAATTTTTGATAGCAAAGACTAGCGTGATTTCCAGATAGACCAAAAAAGGCCTTGAATAGGAAATTAGTTTGAGCAAAGCCGCCAAAATCACCTACCGTAAATACTGTAATAGTACCCCACCCCCATAAAGACGGTGCGGAGTGTTGCGTAGTCTAGCATTGAACGAGTTTTTCTCGACACTGGTTTATGCTACAATGTGCGCTTAGGTATCAAAAAATAGCCCTGAATTTCAGCTATTTTTTGATACCAAAGACGCATTTTTTGAAAGTACGGGCGCTTTGAAAAAAATGAAACACTAAAAAACTTTTGCGACTACGCGACTGTACGAGGGGGGTGGGGTACTATTACAGTATTTACGGTAGTCCTATACCAAACTCCGAGGCAAAGGAACCAAATTTTATGAAACACAAGAAATTTTGACAGCAAAGACTAGCGTGCGTTCCAGATAGACCAAAAAAAGCCCTCGAATCGGAAATTAGTTTGAGCAAAGCCGCCAAAATCACCTAGTCCTATACCAAACTCCGAGGCAAAGAAACCAAATTTTGTGAAACACAAAGAAATTTTGATAGCAAAGACTAGCGTGCGTTCCAGATAGACCAAAAAAGCCCTCGAATAGGAAATTAGTTTGAGCAAAGCCGCCAAAATCACCCAGTCCTGTACCAATTCTTGTTAGTCTCCCTAAATAATCTTTCTAAATTTTTCTAAATCTCTCTTAATCTTTCTACATCAAAGTGTGCCCTCCATAAATTCTAAAAATATCTTTCAGGAACTCGAATCGCGTAACTCGTGGCTGACCGGTCGTGTCTCGATGCTCACCAGCGAGATTCGCCGAATGCGCGCTCATCTCAAGGATATGGGCGCAATCGAGTGACCGAGATCTATTCTTTTTCCCATTTACAGTAATCCTGGGACGCATTTTTTTTTCATTAATCACCTCAACTTTAGCATAATTCAAGATCCACACTTTTTCGTTTTCTATATCTCGCTCCTTGCAATACCGTAGTTCAAAAGTCGTTTTTCTATTTGTTGTCCTTTCTATCGTAATCCGTGTGCTCTTATATTTCACAAATTAGCTGATTTTTTTCGTACACAGATCTCTCTGACCTCTCAAAACATTCTGTGTACATTAGCAAACAAAATACGCTTTGTTTTTTGTTTTTATTTTGTTTTTTTTGTTTATTTGATGTGAACTGAGTCTTTAAAGCTTTTTAAGCAAAGAAAAATCTGAAAAAAGCTACAAAATACAACTAAAAACGATGGCAAAACATAAAAAAAAGGAAAATAAAAAGAATTTTTTATAAAAACAGGAAAATTTCATTGATCAGATCGATTCTCGTTTCGTTTTTTTTAAGAGAAAATTTAAGATGAGAAATTTGCATTTAAATCTAGAGTGCACAGGTATTAAATTTTGTAAAACACCAAAATTTTGATAGCAAAGACTAGCGTGAGTTCCAGATAGACCAAAAAAGGCCTCGAATAGGAAATTAGTTTAAGTAAAGCCGCCAAAATCACCCAGTCCTGTACCAAACTCCGAGGCAAAGGAACCAAATTTTGTGAAACACCAAAATTTTGACAGCAAAGACTAGCGTGCGTTCCAGATAGACCAAAAAAAGGCCTTGAATAGGAAATTAGTTTAAGTAAAGCCGCCAAAATCACCTAGTCCTATACCAAACTCCGAGGCAAAGGAACCAAATTTTGTGAAACACAAAGAAATTTTGACAGCAAAGACTAGCGTGCGTTCCAGATAGACCAAAAAAAGGCCTTGAATAGGAAATTAGTTTAAGTAAAGCCGCCAAAATCACCTAGTCCTATACCAAACTCCGAGGCAAAGGAACCAAATTTTGTGAAACACAAAGAAATTTTGACAGCAAAGACTAGCGTGCGTTCCAAATTAGCTGATTTTTTCGTACACAGATCTCTCTGACCTCTCAAAAACATTCTGTGTACATTAGCAAACAAAATACGCTTTGTTTTTTTGTTTTTATTTTGTTTTTTTTGTTTATTTGATGTGAACTGAGTCTTTAAAGCTTTTTAAGCAAAGAAAAATCTGAAAAAACTACAAAATACAACTAAAAACGATGGCAAAACATAAAAAAAGGAAAATAAAAAGAATTTTTTTATAAAAACAGGAAAATTTCATTGATGAGATCGATTCTCGTTTCGTTTTTTTGCACAAAAATTTAAGAAAAGAAAAAAGGTTTAAATCTAAAGTGCATTGTGTTTGTTTACATTGAAAACAAAACAATAAAAAGCTAAAGAGTACAGTAGTTTTTGGTTTGAAGTGTAGTACAACGTAAATTTCGTTTCCAGAACCTGTAGAACGTTTCCAGAAACTGTAGAACGTTTCTAGAAGCTGTAGAACGTTTCCAGAAGCTGTAGAACGTTTCCAGAAGCTGTAGAACGTTTCCAGAAACTGTAGAACGTTTCCAGAAGCTGTAGAACGTTTCCAGAAACTGTAGAACGTTTCTAGAAGCTGTAGAACGTTTCCAGAAGCTGTAGAAAGTTTCCAGAAACTGTAGAACATTTCCAGAAACTGTAGAACGATTCCAGAACCTGTAGAACGTTTCTAGAAGCTGTAGAACGTTTCCAGAAGCTGTAGAACGTTTCCAGAAGCTGTAGAACGTTTCCAGAAACTGTAGAACGTTTCCAGAAACTGTAGAACGTTTCCAGAAACTGTAGAACGTTTCCAGAAACTGTAGAACGTTTCTAGAAGCTGTAGAACGTTTCCAAAAACTGTAGAACGTTTCCAGAAACTGTAGAACATTTCCAGAAACTGTAGAACGATTCCAGAAGCTGTAGAACGTTTCTAGAAGCTGTAGAACGTTTCCAGAAGCTGTAGAAAGTTTCCAGAAACTGTAGAACGTTTCCAGAACATTTTTGACACAATCCTTTAATCAAATTCCTCTAAATAAACCAATTTACGATCGTTTTCTAGCCATTTCTAGCCGTTTAAACTACTGTACTCAAAAGTGTCGAAAATAGAAAATGTAAAGACCCAGCTCGTTTAAAAAGCCGACTAGAAATTGTAGGGGGAAAAAGACGAAAAAAAAAGAATATAAGGAAATAAAAGAGAAAAAAATTGCACCGAGATGAGAGAATATGGCTGTACATAAATAGAAAATAATCAAATTTCAAATCAAAATCGATCACCACACTTGGCATTTGTGCCGCGGATTCATCATCGATCCATCTCGACATTTCCATGCTTCTGAGAACTCCTAAAGGTGAGAAAAATCGTTTCGAAGCAAGGCTTTAAGGTCGTCTACAATAGCAAGGCTTTAGGGTCCAGGCCTGGCTTAAGCTACTTTGACTTAGGAGGACGCTAACAAGAAGTAGCTGGGCTTAACTAGCAGGCTTACCTAAGAGGTTACCTAACAGGCTTACCTAAAAGGCTTACTTAACAGGCTTACCTAACAGGCTTACCTAAGAGGTTACCTAACAGGCTTACCTAAAAGGCTTACTTAACAAGCTTACTTAACAAGCTTACCTAACAGGCTTACCTAACAGGCTTACCTAACAGGCTTACCTAACAGGCTTACCTAAAAGGCTTACTTAACAGGCTTACCTAACAGGCTTACCTAACAGGCTTACCTAGCAGGCTTACCTCTAAGCTGGGCTTACCTAAGCCCGGATCAGATCCACGCTCCGTAAACTCTAGGCTTGTTTGAACCGCCTTATCCACTAGGCCACCCAGCTCACCTTGATTCAGCCCGAGAAAAGCCTTTTAACCAAGATGTTGAAAACTTTTGTCAAATATTTCGCGTATTTGGTATGGAGAGCTAATTTTTGCCGGATTTTGACCGGCTTAAAACTGCTATAACTTCTCTGAGCTTCTCTAGGCGTCTACCGATCGGTCGTGGCAAGCTGGGGTACTTCCTTGAAACCTAGCCCAGACCATGCTCAAGACTGTAAGCAAATGCTAGTCTAGGCCAGGATTTAGCCCCGATCAGCCCTATAAACTAATCCAAGCCTAGGCCAAGTCCAAATCATGTCCGGTTCAAGCTTTTTAGCTACTCCTGGCCAAGCCTATAAGCAGCCTGGATGTCCAGAAGCATGTCCAGATCCAAGCCAGATCAAGTCCGACCCAGTTCTAGGTCTATAAATTAGTCGAAGTCAGCTTCAACAGGCAGGCTTACCTAGCAGGCTTACCTAGCAGGCTTACCTAGCAGGCTTATCTAGCAGGCTTAACTAACCTGCCTGTCAGCCTCTAAAAGTTAGTCGAAGCCAGCTTCAAGTCTGGCTAAACCTTGTTCCTTACCTTTCGATTCTGCAGTGGGATGATCGCTCGATATTTCGACGGCGCGTGCACATCGGTCATCACCAATTGCACATAGTGTTTTGGTCGAACCACCGAGCACCAGTTCTGCAATTTTCACATTCAAAATCTAACTCCTCGACTTTCAAAACTCACATTCGCGTAGGCAAGGAAAAACATTTGCTCGGAGGTGAAATTCTGGAAACCGGGCAGCGCCGGCTCGTCTTCGGTGGCGTTTTTTCGCCAAGCTTTGTACGCCTGAAAAGTCAGGGGTACGGTAGATTTGAGTGCAGGATAAATAAGATCAAAAAAACAATGAACAAAGTTTCCAAAACCTACATTGAACGCGGTTTTCACTCCGCCGTTGTCCGCGATGTTCTCCCCGAGACTCAAACGGCCGTTCAGTCGAATTTTTGCCTCTTTGATCTGAGTTTTATTATAGATTTAAGTTATAGACTTAGAAAATAGAAACTAGAAACTAGAAACTTAGTCTAGAAACTTTGGAACTTTATTAGACTTTGAAAAACCCAACCTCAACCGATCCATATTGTTCCACGAAGCACTGGGTTTTGTCGGAGAATTTCTGCGCCGTTTCCGCGTCCCACCAATCGTTCAAATTACCCCATTCATCATAGCGACCGCCTGAGGAATGTGGAAAGAGCTTAGTGCAATAGAAAGTGTGTGTTTACATTCGCCTTTGATCATCGAACGCCTAGCTCACCTTGAGCATCGAACGCCTAGCTCACCTTGATCATCGAACGCATGCGAGACTTCGTGTCCAATCACCGCTCCGACCATTCCATACGTGATATAGTTGGGCACACCGATCGTCAGGAATGGGAATTGCATGATACCGGCCGGGAAAACTAAAAGTATCATATAACCAAGGTGAAATAGCGGATCAACGAATCAAATATAACCGATCAACGGATCAGATATAACCGATCAACTCACTCATCTCGTTGTTATTCGGTGCGTAGTAGGCGTCAACCTGCGCCGGACTTTGATACCACGTACTTCTGTCTAACGGCTCATCCAAACGCTCCAATTCTTCTGTAATTTGCAAAGATTCCCGTATTCCGTAAATCTCAGCCACTCACCCTTGTACCGTTCTAATTTCAGGCGAATTGTCAAGTGAAGGAGTGGCTCATTGTGCTCGATCACCTAGAATTGCGAGGTTGACTTGATTTCAAGCTTTTATTGAACTCCAAATTCAGATTTTATTCAATTTTTGGGCGAGCTGGATATCACTTGGGTTGTTCTAACCAAAATTTGAAGAAAATCTAGTCTATAAAATGTGCTTGAACACATAGAATTGCGAGATTGGCTTGATTTCAAGCTTCTATTTAACACCAAATTCAGATTTTATTCAATTTCTGGGCGATCTGGATATCACTTGGGTTGTTCTAACCAAAATTTTAAGCGAATCTAGTTTATGAAGTGTGCTCGATCACCTAGAATTGCGAGGTTGACTGGATTTCAAGCTTCTATTTAACTCCAAATTCAGATTTTATTCAATTTGTGGGTGATCTGGATATCACTTGGGTTGTTCTAATCAAAATTTGCACAAAATTTAGTTTATGAAATGTGCTCGATCACATAGAATTGCGAGGTTGACTGGATTTCAAGCTTCTATTTAACTCCAAATTCAGTTTTTATTCAATTTTTGGGCGAGCTGGATGTCACTTGAGTTGTTCTAACCAAAAGTTGCACAAAATTTAGTCTATAAAACGTCCTCGATCATCTAGAATTGCGAGGTTGGCTTGATTTCAAGCTTTTATTGAACACCAACTTCAGATTTTATTCAATTTTTGGGCGATCTGGATGTCACTTGGGTTGTTCTAATCAAAATTTGCACAAAATTCAGTCTATAAAATTTTTAGAACAGTGACCGCCATAAGCTTGCTTTGTAGATAACCTTAATTTTTGCAAAACTCCAACTCTGACATCATAATCTTGCCAAGTGGACTCCAGAATTGAGAACTTTATCAACAATTTACCCTTGATCTCCAGTGTTTCTTTGATTTTGGCGCTCAATTCACTCCCTTCCCCTCCTCCAGCCATTGCACTTATCTCGCAGGAAATGACTCTAGCGCCTCGCAAATTTCACAACTTGCCAGAAATCACAAACGTGGTGTTCTTTCCGTTTTCCCGAAGGTCCATGCCGAAAATATCGGTCTGGTCGTTCTTTGCCTCGCTCGGGCGTCAGGTTCTCCTCAAAAAATCTGTTCTTCGCTCTAGCACCCGCGTTTTTTCGGCTATTTTCCCCAATGCTGGCACGCACACTCTCATTTCCATTTCTCAAACACCACACTCTATCAGAAAGGAAAAAAGTGTTGGCAGCGCGGCGACCTCTCGCTTTGCTCAATGTTTCGCCGATAAACGTCACCTCTCTTTTTACGCTCAAAGAACGTGCAACTGCGGTCGAGCTTCTCCGATTCTCTGCTCACTTTTTCAGTTTTGTTATTTCTTTGCGCTCAAAAGTCTCTCAAAGTCTTTCACTCTTTTCTGTGAACGAGCGGACGTTGCCCCCTTTCTTTCACCACACGTCTCGCCTCTTTCGCAATCCCAAAATTTTCTTTTCGCATTCTACGGGCTGGGGGACTTTTACGTAAATAATCACAGGGATCTTATCAGAGTTTTTATTGAAGCTAACGGTCAGTGTTCACTAAAAAGTCGAAGTGTAAGTGTCAGGGAAAAATTTTGGGAAAAAATTTCTAGAGGGATTCGGTTTTTCATATCTTTAAATATATGAAAATTATCTAAAATATCTAATTTAAATTTAAAATTATCTTTAAAAATTATCAAAGAAAAAGAAACCTATAAAACAACCTCGGAAATACAAAATTTACCAATCAAAGTAACTCTTTTAGATTCTGTGCTCTCCAGATTGACGAATGAACGCATTAAGATTTGAGTCTTGATTTGAAAGCTTGCTAATTTTGTTTAAAATCCGGTCTTCTCGTAAAATCTCGCTGTTTTTGTCGACTTCAACAGTCTAGAAGGCAAAATTCACGAAATAAATCGATTTTTGATGGAAATTTTGAGAAAACCGAGCGATCAGTGACTCATTTCACAGATTTCTTTGCACAGATCGCTCTCTTTTCTTTCTCTTTTCCACAAGAGAAGCGAATAAAGAACCATCAAAATCTTGTTAACGTTTCGAAAACTCGCTTTGTTAACTCGCTTCGTTTTCAACTCACAAGAGAATATCAAAAGGCTGTTGTGGCCTAAAGAAAGCTGCTTCCAATGATGGCCTAAAGAAAGCTGATTCGAATGATGGCCTAAAGAAAGCTGATTCGAATGATGGCCTAAAGAAAGCTGCTTCCAATGACAGCCAAATCACAGCCGATTCTTGTGTCATCAAACGAACTTCAAACATTGAAAGCTAAAAGAAGCAAAAGTCAAACGCCGGACTCGAACCCTCGCTCCGTATCGAAGCCGACCACTCGGCTACCACCATACCATTCCCCTGCTAAGTCAACTTATAAACTGGCCCTGTCTTCTGCGACCCCATACAAAACTTTGAGCGCTTATAACTTTTGACAGAGTGCCTCATAGCAAAAACTGAAAGCACATTCGGGATCAGCGCAAAATTCTCAATCAATTATTTTATGACGCATATCATTTGATCACCATTTCTCTTGTCATTTCAACATTTTATCACCCACCATTCCCCAATGTTTCTGCATGGTCGTGTCGTTGAAAATGAATGGCGGGAAACCGTTTTTGTACTCGATTCGTTCAGCCTGTAAAAAAATGGATAGATTATGAGAGAAAATTGCAACAATTCGAAACTTGATTTCACATAAAGTTAGACGTAAATATGTCTAATATCTAGAAAGTCTAGAAAGGATTCCAGAGGGATTCTTGCCCAAGCCTGGTCTGAAACCTGTCCTAAACCAAAGCATCATCCGTTTTCTTTGGCAGTGCCGCGCCAATGTAGCTGCTAGCAAATCCCAACTCGGGACTGCCACACAGGTTAACCCAGCCTAAAGTTCAATGGCCGAGCCTCACCATGATGATTTGATGTCCGAGAGAACCTCCCAGCCATCTAGGTTGAGATGGAATAGGTGTGGGTTATGGAAAGAGTGGATGTCAGATGAGATACGATTAAATAAAGAGCGCACAAAGAGCATGTGAAAGAGACAGAAGAGAGAAAGCTGTTGAAGAGAGTCTTTTGGGTTTAAGTGCTTTCTCCTACAGGAATTGTTCAAAGAAAGAGTTCAAAGTTGAAGCTGAAAGATCCGGCCAGAAGTCTAGTTGGTTTGTCTTGACCAGAAGTGGTTCTTTTATGTCAAGAATTACCACGAAAAGATCCTGGAGCTGGTTGAAGTTTAGCCAGGATAGGAGCTGGCTGGAGTAAGCCAGAACAGGAGCTGGCTGGAGTTTAGCCAGGACAGGAGCTGGCTGGAGTTTAGCCAGAACAGGAGCTGGCTGGAGTTTAGCCAGAACAAGAGCTGGCTGAAGTTTAGCCAGGATAGTAGCTGGCTGAAGTTTAGCCAGAACAAGAGCTGGCTGAAGTTTAGCCAGAACAGAAGCTAGCTTCTGAGCCTTGGAATGGCTTGACCATGAGTTCTAGCATTGTTCAAGGCTCGGCCTCTTGCGTGATCTAGCCCGCTTACAGGCTACTGTAAACTCTTAAAATCCGACCTTGTTGATCGCTCTCTTCCTCGTCGCTTCATCCATCCAATCAAGAATTCTCAGTTGTTTCATGAATTCACTCTTCAAATAGTGCGTCAATTCAGTCATCTAGGGTTAAACGCTTTTAAAAGTTTCAATTTTAGATTCTCACCTTTGCTAGCGCTTTCTCTTGTTCGAAGAAATTCTCAACGAAAAGTTTCCCGACTGGCATATCAAGCATGATCACTGACAGAGTCACACAGTCTTCCCAGCTAAGAATTTCGGGTTTGAGGTTTTAATTCAAAAATTCAAACCGATCCGGTGGCGGTGAATTGAAGATCCCAGTTTGATTCGCTTTGAATTGATAGAATGGTTCACGAGTGATCGGCGGGAGAAACGGGGAGAAACCCTGGAAAGAGATACGATAGTTTTGGGGATACTTACTAGCTACAGTAGTCTTGTCTTATAGTTAGTTACCGTAATCCCCAGGGTCTTCAGGCCAAAGAAATCTATCTTGGCTTTCCCATCTACCGTAGCCTATAGGTCTTTAAGCGCTCTTAGCTTTCTGCGCACAGTGCTCTTAGCTTTCTTACCCATGAGTAACCCATGAGCCTTCAAGCTACAGTAATCCTACCTTTCTTATCTATTGTAGCCACTAATCTAGCTACTCTTTCGTCCCTAACCCCTGAGCCTTCAAGCTACAGTAATCCTATCTTTCTCATCTATTGTAGCCACTAATCTAGCTACTTTTTCGTTACCGTAACCCATGAGCCTTCAAGCTACAGTAATCCTATCTTTCTCATCTATTGTAGCCACTAATCTAGCTACTTTTTCGTTACCGTAACCCATCAGCCTTCAAGCTACAGTAATCCTATCTTTCTTAGCCATTGTAGCCACTAATCTAGCTACTCTTTCGTCCCTAACCCCTGAGCCTTCAAGCTACAGTAATCCTATCTTTCTCATCTATTGTAGCCACTAATCTAGCTACTCTTTCGTTACCGTAACCCTTAATCTCCCCTACAGTACCGCTAAACTTCACTCACCTGTACAATCCGCCATGAGATGTAATTGGCGATCACTCGCTCGTTCGTTTCGCGGAGAATGTGCTAAAAAGAGCTATAATCTATCGTAATCTTTCCCCTCCTTACTTGGATTCCTTTGAAATAATCGACTTCTCGGATGATCACCGTGTCATTCTCGCTTAATTGCACCAAATCGCTGAACACTTCCTCGATATAGCCACTCAAATCGACCTAGAATCAAAATATAGACAAACTAAAGATCAAGCAATAGAGCAGCTATCTATAAATTGGTATAGTAATCGTCGAAATGAGCAAATGACAAATAACATTGACAGGATGATGCTGTGCTTTAAGTATGCTATAGTATGCTACAGTATGCTACAGTCTAACGTCTGACAGTCTAACGTCTGGCAGTCTAACGTCTGCCAGTCTAACGGCTGACAGTCTAACGTCTGGCAGTCTAACGGCTGACAGTCTGACACTGCGATAGTCTGACAGTGCTACAGTCTAACACTGCGATAGTCTGCCAGTGCTATAGTCTGCCAGTGCTATAGTCTGACATCTTATCCTGAATACAATAATTTGCTTTAAATTCTATTCTGGACGTCCTACGTTGTTCAAATTTCGATAATTCTTATCACGATCTGATATCAAATGATGAATATTTGCTTTAACTTCTTTTTAAACGATTCTGTACGTCCTAAGATCTCCGAAAGATCTCCCAAGATCGTCCCAAGATCTCCGATCTCCAAGATCTCCGATCTCCAAGATCAAAACTTAACAACTCACATGCGGGAAATGTTGCTTGAGCTCTTTCAGCTGATATCGATTGTTGCCTCGATCGGGATCGCGTCGAACCTAAACCATCAATTTTCCTAGATACAACAACGCAAATCACATGCTCTTCGGCTGAGAAATTGACGAGTTTCATCTCCAGCTCCATCGCCTCAAACATGTCCTTTTCTGCCTGTTCTCGAGTGGCACCTGAGTAAAGAGGTTTCCAATGAAAATTCGACTTTACAAAATCTACCCAAAGCCATAGCCGTTTGTATCATTAACCACGTGTAATTTTTCACTGTTGGATCATCGGCGCCCATCAGATACGGCCATCGCGAGCCGATTCCCCATTTTGGTTGATCGAGCTGAAGATTTTGAAATAAAATCTATCAAAATCATGTTCAAAACTGAAAAAATCAAGACTGGACTGACTCTCGACCTGATTCCGGCTCTAACTCTGGACAGAATTGGCCTAGAACCTAGCTGGAGTTTGATTGGTTCCTCAATCAACTGCGGTTTGATTGGTTTATTCCTGATAGCTGTAGAAAAAGGATGAAAAAGTTCTCCAGCTTTTCAGTGCACTTTTCGAGTGCCATTTTTCTGCCAATCTGCCAAGACGGCTACCATTTTTGCCTACCGTACCTCGATCACTGAGCGACTGCTGTTCCCGGGATCGTGCGTGACGGCCAACTCAAGCAAAACCGCGTTCACGCCCGTTCGATTCATGATAAAAGCCAGCTGGCGTTCCCAGCTGCGAGACCACGGTTTCCATCTAGAAAACTGTACATAGATCTGAGCATTGATCATAGACAGATCATAGCATTGATCATGGAGCCTAGAGTCACTTGAACTTTATATTATTGCCTTGATTCAGAACTAGAAATGTGTTTACCAGCGTTTTGCCAGACTAGACAAGATCGGGTTTCTGAAATGACACTTAAATCGTACTTTGTCCCGTCTAATGTCGGCCATCCTCCCACCCAATCGAGAACTTCTTTGATCGCGCGAAGACCCGATTTGTCGAGTTCATCTGGAAATCTTCTATTCTTATTTAGACTGGTCTAGACTGGTCTAGAGCTGCTTTAGACTGGTCTAGACTGGTCTAAAGCAGCTCTAGACTGCTCTAGACTGGTCTAAAGCAGCTCTAGACTGCTCTAGACTGGTCTAGACTGCCCTAGACTACTCTAGACTGGTCTAGACTGCTCTAGAGTTGCTTTAGACTGGTCTAGACTGGTCTAGACTGCTCTAGACTGATCTAAAGCAGCTCTAGACCGCTCTAGACTGGCCTAGACTGCTCTAGACTGCTCTAGACTGGTCTAGACTGCCCTAGACTGCTCTAGACTGGCCTCTTGGTTAGGGTAAGGCTTTAGCTTTGGTGTTGGAAATAGTATACAGCTGATCCTACTCTAGCCATCAGGCTTTAAACATTTCCGAGCATAGCAATCCCCTCACCTTCATCCAAACACTTCTTGTAGTAGCCCTTCGCGAGTCGATCCCACGGTTTATCGTTTGGCGAGTTTTCTGCCTAAAAAAAATTTTGTACAACTCTTATATTCAAGCAAAAGGCATTCACTCACCTCTAAAATCGATCGAACTTGTTTATTGAGTCTTCCCTGTACATCGCTGATTGTGTGCCGAAGGGGTTTACTCGCCGGTAGATTCCGATTCACTCCATAGTGTCCACAAGCGAACTCATAAAAATCATCGCATGGATCAATCTGGAAGAGAAGCTTTGAATAAATGATTTGAATAAATGGCTTGTAAAAGAATCTTCGCTTAGGAAATGATTAGGAAATGATTAGCACAAGCTTAGCGAATACTTAGAATCTCAGCATGATTAGGAAATGATTCGGAAATGATTAGGAAATGATTAGCACAAGCTTTGCAAAAGCTTCCTAATCATGCTAATCATGAAAATGATTCGGAAATGATTAGCAAATGATTAGCAAATGATTAGCAACTGATTAGCAAATGATTAGCAAATGATTAGCACAAGCTTTGCAAAAGCTTAGCTAATACTTAGAATCTCAGCATGATTAGGAAATGATTTAGAAATGACTACCAATACTTAGCAAATACTTACCGTAAATACTGTAATAGTACCCCACCCGCCCTCGTACAGTCGCGTCGTCGCAAAAGTTTTTTAGTATTTCATTTTTTTCAAAGCACCCATACTTTCAAAAAATGCGTCTTTGGTATCAAAAAATAGCCCTAAATTTCAGCTATTTTTTGATACCAAAGATAATGACGGTGCGGAGTGTTGCGTAGTCTAGCTTTGAACGAGTTTTTCTCGACACTGGTTTAAGCTACAATGCTCGTTTAAATATCAAAAAATAGCCCTGAATTTCAGCTATTTTTTGATATTTAAACGAGCACTCTATCATAAACCAGTGTCGAGAAAAACTCGGCCAAAGCTAGACTACGCGACACTCCGCACCGTCATTATGGGGGTGGGGTACTATTACAGTATTTACGGTAGCAAATCATTAACAAATCATTAACAAATCATTAGCATAAGCTTTCCAAAACCTTAGCAAATACTTAGCCTCTCAGCAGTTACAATTCTTTTCAAAACAAAGCCAAATTTAAAAACTCTTTTGTAATCGATTTGAATCGATCCCATAAAATGCCATAAAATCCCATAAAACATAATCCCATAAAAAAACGCTGAGCTGCTGACCTTGTCGTTAAGATTTTCAGCCAAAAATCCAGCAATCCGTACGCATTCTCGACTCGTGCACACAACTTGTTGATGATTTTTCGCTGTTCGATCCAATGCGTTTCGCGGTGGAGCGTAGATAGGTAAACCTAAAGAAAATCATCATTTTTGACTATTTCTATTCGAAAAGAGCTTGCAGTTACTTTAGAAAAGATGAAAATTTCGTTTTTTTTTTATATTTATTTCATAGATTTCATTGTATCAGCCATTTTGGTTGTTGTTTATTTTATTCAAAAATGCTTATATTTTTTATTTAGATCATGATGGAGCAAAAGTTTGTGCTACGAGCAACATTACTGTTTAACTTCAAAATTGGATTTATTAAAAACAATTTTTTTTCAACAAAATTACCACAAATTTGGCTGAAACAAACTTTTCTGAAAATAATTTTTTATAGAAAATTAGCCAAATGACAGATTCGGAGAAATTCGGAAATTGGGGCTCATATTTGGTTTCTATTTGGTTCCTATTTGGTTCCTATTTGGTTTCTATTTGGTTCCTATTTGGTTCCTATTTGGTTCCTATTTTGGTTCCTATTTGGTTCCTATTTGGTTCCTATTTTGGTTCCTATTTTGGTTCCCATTTGGTTTCCAGTTGGCTCCTATTTGGTCCCTATTTTGTTTCCTTTTTGGTTTCTATTTGGTTCCTATTTTGGTTCCTGTTTGGTTTCTATTTGGTTCCTTTTTGGTTCCTATTTTGTTTTCTTTTTGGTTCCCAGTTGGCTCCTATTTGGTTCCCAGTTGGTTATTTGGTTGCTATTTGGTTCCTGTTTGGTTCATATTTGGTTTCTATTTGGTTCCTATTTGGTTTCTATTTTGGTTTCTATTTTGGTTTCGAGTTGGTTCCTTTTTGGTTCCTATTTGTTTCCTATTTGTTTCCTTTTTGGTTCCTATTTGGTTCCTATTTTGTTCCCAGTTGGCTCCGATTTGTTTCCTATTTGGTTCATATTTGGTTCCTATTTTGCTCGACTAGCCCTCATTCAAGCGCTTGTAAAATGAGTTCTATAAATCGAATCAAAATGCTTTTCGTAGAGAAATGCAGCTGAGATTTAGGACTACAATTCTCTAAAGAATACTTGACACTTTTGAAGGAAATTAGCCATTTCTCGGCTAGTTTTCGAAAAGCAATCTAGCGATTGGTTCCTTTAAAGGAAAGGTTTTGGTTTCCTTTCCGATGTGACAGTGAAAGCGATAACTTCGCTTTTCTGTTCCCGTTGTAAGCATTTAGCTTTCTTTTTAAAGTAATTTAGAAATAACTGACCTTCATTGAATATTCTATATCCTTGAAACCAGAGTAGCCATATTAAAAGAAGACCCGACAATGAAAGAAATAAAATAAAACAAGAGAAAAGGAGAAAAACTTCGAGACGAGACAACGGGCCGCACAATCGCCTAAAAAGAGTTTAAGTTTAAGTTTTCTAAAGATTTTAAAGATTCTAAAAGTCTAATTCATTATAGAGGCTTATAAAAGTCATTTTTCTATCATTTTCTATCATTTTTTTATCATTTCCATTTCGAAATCTCAGCTTTATTTATATGTTGTGTCCGATTTAGATTCAATCTAAATCGGACGTCCGATTTATATTGAACTTATCGCGGACGTCCGATTTAGATTACAGTCTATATCGGACGTCCGATTTAGATTCAATCTAAATCTTATATAGATTGAACAATAATACGTCCTGTATAGATTGAACAATAATATAAACATGCTTAATATATGTTCTTAAGCGTTTTCTGTAGTTTTCTGCATTTTTTCAAAGGTCTTTTATTGATTACAGTCTATATCGGACGTCCGATACAGATCGAACAATAATAAACGTGCTTAATATATGTTCTTAAGCGTTTTTTTGCAATTTTCTGCGCTTTTCAAAGAATTCAAGATGTCACAATAGCATGTTCAAGATGCCACAAAGAATTCAAGATGTCACAATGTCACAACTCTGCAATTCAAGATGTCACAATAGCCTAAGCTGCAAAAATAAATAGAAATTTTTAACTCGTTCGTTGTTGTTGTTAGTTTTTTGTTGTTATATGTTGTAATTTTGCATCTATTCTGTTAACGCTAATAAATTATTTCATAGTTGGGTTTTCTTTTCAGAAAAAGACAATAAAATTTCCTTGAAAAGCGCAGAAAATTGCAAAAACGCTTAAGAACATATATTAAACATGTTTATATTATTGTTCAATCTATATAAGACGTCCGATTTAGATTCAATCTAAATCGGACGTCCGATATAGACTGTAATCTAAATCGGACGGAAATCTAAATCGGACACATCATATATCTATTTCGCTTTTCTTTCTCTTGCCTCTTTTCGGAATGCCATCCGGTGAATTCTCCGCCATTTGGCTGATCCTTCATTTTCAAAAGGATTTAATTTGCTTTTTAATCTGCTTTAGAATCGATTTTTGTGTGATTTATTCCAGAAAATCACTCTTCATATAGCCGAAAATACGGGTTTTGATGAGAAAATTCTTAGAAAAAGCATCGATTTTCGAATTCTCGTTGTGCTTTTGATCTGAAATCAGAAAAAAGAAAATTTCGAATTCGATTTGAAATTTGAATTTCATTTGAATGATTTAAAAAAAAGATTTAAAGAAAAGAGAAAGATAAAGAGGAAGAGAAAGGGAAAGAGAAAGAGGAAGAGGAAGAGGAAGAGAAAGAGGAAGAGGAAGCGAAAGAGAAAGAGAAAGATAAAGATAAACTACCGTAAATACTGTAATAGTACCCCGCCCCCCTCGTACAGTCGCGTAGTCGCAAAAGCTTTTTAGTATTTCATTTTTTTCAAAGCGTCCGTACTTTCAAAAAATGCGTCTTTGGTATCAAAAAATAGCCCTAAATTTCAGCTATTTTTTGATACCAAAGATAATGACGGTGCGGAGTGTTGCGTAGTCTAGCTTTGAACGCGTTTTTCTCGACACTGGTTTAAGCTACAATGCTCGTTTAAATATCAAAAAATAGCCCTGAATTTCAGCTATTTTTTGATATTTAAACGAGCACTCTATCATAAACCAGTGTCGAGAAAAACTCGTTCAAAGCTAGACTACGCGACACTCCGCACCGTCATTATCTTTGGTATCAAAAAATAGCTGAAATTTAGGGCTATTTTTTGATACCTAAGCGCGCATTGTAGCATAAACCAGTGTCGAGAAAAACTCGGTCAAAGCTAGACTACGCGACACTCCGCACCGTCATTATGGGGGTGGGGTACTATTACAGTATTTACGGTAGTTGTAAAATGAAAGCTAAAAGAAACCAAAAGAAAGAAGATGAAAAGGATTTGACACGAAATTCTTTATAATTTAGCTTAATAAGAAAAAAAAAGCCAAAATCCAGAAAATCTAGAATTCAATGATGCCAAAGTATCGAATTTTATTCAAATTTAAGCAAACAGTCAATAAAAAAATAGAATTTTTGTCAAATATTTGTGAAAAGTGAGATTTGGATGAGTCAAAAGTGTCAGAATCTCTTGAAATTAATGAGAAATTTGGGGATTGTCTTTATTGTCTTATTGTCTCTGTCTTATTGTCTCTGTCTCTGTTTCTTTTTCTCTTTTTCTTCTCGAAATGACACCCCACTTTGATCTCATCTCCGACTCTTTCTAAACGAACATTTTTGTTTTCCTTTTTACTTTCAACTCAATCCACCAATCGCATTGTAATCGAGATTTAAAAGATTTCAAAACTTTGAGCGCTTATAACTTTTGACAGAGGGCTCCATCTCAAAAACGGAAAGCACATTCGGAATTAGCATGAAATACTGCATCAAATCATCGAATAACATTTGGCATTTGGCCACGAAATCCAGTTGAAATTCCCTTTTGAATTAAGAACGATAACTCAAAAAAGTCAAGAACTCAATTATTCAATGAAAATCTCGTATTTTCACTCGAGAACTACTCGAATCGTTTCCCAATTTTACTTAGCTGAGCAGCACAAATCATTTTTTTTCTTGTATTGTAACCCAATGGGCCTTGGGAAATGTGGTTATAAACTCTGATTTATGAAATCCCATACAGAACTTTGAGCGCTTATAACTTTTGACAGAGTGCTCCATCTCGAAAACTGAAAGCAGATTCAGAATCAGCATGAAATTCTGCGTCGAATGGTCTATGGCTCATATCATTTCTATCATCAGATCCAGTTGAAATTCCCTTGTAGAAAAGTGTACTCATCTTTTAGCTGTTTAATCAAGTTGCTTATATTATAAAATGCTCAAATGTGTAGTTTATTTAGCATTTACTTAAAGGGGGGTATTAATCGCGGGCGGGTGACGATAAAAATTTTTTTTACGGCAATCACCTGTTTTTTTATTTTAATATCGCTGATTTTATTATAAAAAGAATAAAAATCACCCGGCTAGAGTGATTTGATGGGTTTACAAATTTTTGGAGACACTGCAAGGCTTGGAGAAAAACAAGATCGTCACTCATCAGCACAGTCTAGATCGATTGAGTTTTAATTGCAGATAAATTTAAAAACAAAATAAAAAGCACAAAAAGTAATAAAAATAAATTGTTAATCTATAATTCTTCCTCTTGCTCACTTTCATCTTCGCTCAAGTACAGCAGTTCGGCTCAAGTACAGCAGTACAAATCGGCTTCCTATCTTATCAATTTCCAGCGCATCTTCACCAAAAGTGACTGGATCTCCTCCATCGTAGGACGTCTTCAGCGCTTTGATTGACACAATTAGATCGTTTTTCATTTGTGGTCGCTTATGGTTTTAGTTTTCTCAAATAGGTGCCTTTTAGCTGAGGTGTCTGATGAGTGACGATCTTGTTTTTTTCCAAGCCTTGCAGTGTCTCCAAAAATTTGTAAACCCATCAAATCACTCTAGCCGGGTGATTTTTATTCTTTTTATAATAAAATCAGCGATATTAAAATAAAAAAACAGGTGGTTGCCGTAAAAAATTTTTATCGTCACCCGCCCGCGATTAATACCCCCCTTTAAGTAAATGCTAAATAAACTACACATTTGAGCATTTTATAATATAAACAACTTGATTGAACAGCTAAAAGGTGAGTACACTTTTCTACAAGGGAATTTCAACTGGATCTGATGATAGAAATGATATGAGCCATAGACCATTCGACGCAGAATTTCATGCTGATTCTGAATCTGCTTTCAGTTTTTGAGATGGAGCACTCTGTCAAAAGTTATAAGCGCTCAAAGTTCTGTATGGGATTTCATAAATCAGAGTTTATAACCACATTTCCCAAGGCCCATTGGGTTACAATACAAGAAAAAAAATGATTTGTGCTGCTCAGCTAAGTAAAATTGGGAAACGATTCGAGTAGTTCTCGAGTGAAAATACGAGATTTTCATTGAATAATTGAGTTCTTGACTTTTTTGAGTTATCGTTCTTAATTCAAAAGGGAATTTCAACTGGATTTCGTGGCCAAATGCCAAATGTTATTCGATGATTTGATGCAGTATTTCATGCTAATTCCGAATGTGCTTTCCGTTTTTGAGATGGAGCCCTCTGTCAAAAGTTATAAGCGCTCAAAGTTTTGAAATCTTTTAAATTCTCGATTACAATGCGATTGGTGGATTGAGTTGAAAGGAAAAAGGAAAACAAAAATGTTCGCTTAAAAAGAGTCGGAGATGAGATCAAAGTGGGGTGTCATGTCGAGAAGGAAAGGAGACAATAATCCCCAAATTTCTCATTAATTTCAAGAGATTCTGACACTTTTGACTCATCCAAATCTCACTTTTCACAAATATTTGACAAAAATTCGTTTTTCAAGAAAAACTTGTAGTCGATCTGTGATTTGATTTGTTTCAGATTTTTGATTTGCTTCAGATCTTTGCTTCAGATCTTTGCTTCGGATCTTTGATTCAGATCTTTGCTTCAGATCTTTGCTTCAGATCTTTGCTTCAGATCTTTGATTCAAATCTTTGATTCAAATCTTTGATTCAGATCTTTGATTCAGATCTTTGTTTCAGATCTTTGATTCAGATCTTTGATTCAAATCTTTGATTCAAATCTTTGATTCAGATCTTTGATTCAAATCTTTGCTTCAGATCTTTGATTCAGATCTTTGCTTCAGATCTTTGCTTCAAATCTTTGATTCAAATCTTTGCTTCAGATCTTTGTTTCAAAAAGATCTTTGTTCCAGTTGAATTTGAAAAAGATAAAGCTTATCAAAAGCTAAATAAGATAGATCATAATGTATTAGGGCAAGTTTTAAATAAATAAAATAAAGAGAATAAAGACCATAATCAAATCAACTATTCAATGAGCCGTTTCTGAAGAAAATTCTGAAGAAAATCTCAAAGCTTCTCGAAAATCGAAAGCGAAAACGAATCACACAGATGTTCCCCTTCGTTTTGTGTGGGAAATTTGTCGAGAAATTTGTCGCCAACGATGTTTCCCTTTTTTTTGTTTTGACGAATCAGAAGAAAAGAGAAAAGAAAGAGATGTAAAAGAGATCCACCATAGTAGGATTGAAAAGAAAACAAAGAGATTGAAAAGAAAACAAAACGGGAGAAGGGAAATATATGAAATTGGGAAATAAATGAATTGACAAAGAAAGAAAGAAAGAAAATGAGGCAAAAATGGCTAGAAAGTGGTGAGGAATTTGAATTTTCTTAAAGAAAAGAGGAGGAAAGAGGAGGATTTCTTTTTGAATAGCCCCCAAAGTTTCTTTTTTAATCGAGTTATTAAATTCTGGAACATTTTATCCCCTCGTGTTCGTGATATTTCCACCTTCGCTAGATTTAAAGCCGCAATTTCGACAATTCACGGCAATTGGCAATGATTTCGGCAATTGATTTGACTGCTCTGTGATTCTTTCTTGAGGTATCCATTTATCTTTTGGGTGTGTTTTGAGTGGTGTCCCGGGTGATTATTGTGATTTTGTTTTGTCGCTATTCAACTGAATAAATATTATATATGTCGTAGCCGCTAACGAAATTCAGCCGCTAACGAATCATTCGTTAACGGCTAGCCGCTGACGAATCATTCGTTAACGGCTAGCCGCTGACGAATCATTCGTTAACGGCTAGCCGTTAACGAATGATTCGTCAGCGGCTAGCCGATTACGAATGAAATTTTTTTGCTAGCCGTGCACGATTTGTAATCGGCTTCTGCGAACATGGCTCAATTCAAATTAGTCTTTGATTTCAAACTATTTATGCAAAACGCAAATCAGCAAACTAATCACAACGAGTGAAATAAAATTTATAACATTTAACATTTATAACATTGTTGTTATGACATTGTTGTCAATATGTTCACAATTTCATCGTATTTTTTCGTCGTTAGTATATGCGTTCGCTTTTTCAGAATTTGATACGCGTTCGCAACATATTGACATATTGACCGCAACATATTGACCCAA